TGTCAAACACTCACTCATTCCATATTGTTTTAAAAGAATTTATATCATTTTAATTTCTCACCCCGAACTATTCTGGAAGCGGAATTTTTATCTGGCCAAAAAAGGGGCTTTGTTTCCACTTTTTAAAGAAGTTTAAAAAATGGGGTCCTGATTTTGGTTATTTCAAAAAATTTAAGCCTAAATCAACCCTATTGCCATTTTGTTGGAAACGGTTCCTCGGAATTTTATAATGGATTCTCGTTCACTGAAGAGAGTGAATGCTTATTGTTAAATTCTGACTGCAATAAATCCTATATTAGTTTTTCTTTATATCTATAAAATATCCTAACTGAAACTGACATCTGTTTAAGGATTCTAGATATAATCTAATTTTGATTTCATTTTAAGGATAATTGTGTGCTTGCATAGGCGTAGCCAAGAATGGGGGGTGTAAAAGAGAGTTCCCCCCTTTAAAAATTTATCTCTTCTCTTAAATATCATTTAAACTAATAAAAATTCCCCACCCCCTTCCAAAAAATATATACAATATATTACTATAAGGAAGAATTTAAGGTAAAAGTTAATAACTTTTTAAAATAACGACTATTTCAAAATTTTTAGAAGAAATAATTATTTTTATAAAAAATAAGTAAAAACCCATAATTATTTTTATAAAAATCGAATATAGCTAAAGGACTATAATAAATGGACCCTAAGATATCGACAATAAACTTTATAGGGAAAAATCCACCTAATAGTGCCCCCTCCTCGCTTTAACAAAATCCTGGCAAGCCTATTTGCGCTTGTTTAATTCATTTTCTTACACATTTTTTTTATATATTAATCTTCTAACTTTCAAAACCTAGCTTCCAAAATAAGTTAATAGCTTGAATGTCCAATAAAGTTTTTTTACCAAAAAAATTATAGATGATTCAAAATTAGAGATATACTACCCTCCCCTTTCATCCTCCTTAAATTAAAAAAAAATTAAACACCTTTAAAACGCTAATGATAATTTTCAAGTTTATTATCAAAGATTTTTTTTAAAATAATTTTACATTTTTGTTTAGATTAAAATATACATTTAAAGGAATTATATCATTTTTTTTTAAATAATACAGTTTTCATTATTTATTAAAAAAGATTTATTCCTACAAGCTATATAAAATATAATACCTTTAATAATAGTTTAGTTATTTCAATCGACGTGTAAAATATTAGGTCAATTTTGACGATCAATAAAAAAAAAAAAATTTTTTTTTCAATATAATTTCATATTGATATTAATATTAGTTTCTTATAAGGGGATTATAAAAGTTTTTATGAATATTGTGGCAAAAAAAATGATAACTTAAATTTTAGTAATTATGTAGAAAAGGTCAAATGTCCACCCAGTCATCTTTTAAAGAATGCCGAAAAGATCAAATAAAAAAAGTCAAAATTTTCTGAAAATAATTTATAATAATATACCCAACATATTTTGAAAAATAAGTATCATTTATTTTTATTATTTTTCGCGCACATTTTAAATGAAATAAGAAATTTCTGAGAATGATATTTTAGAGGAAAAGTTAAATAGGTTGCGATGGTATCCATAAAATGTATTCATAGCCTCAATTTATTATGACCTTGGACTCATGAACTAAAAATTGCGGGAATAGCGTCGATGAGACCCGGTTAATTCAAGTTGCCCTGGGGCGCGTCTTTTCAAAATTAATGGCTGGATCATCTAGTGCCTGTGTGTACAGTTCACACACTCTTAACTATATGATTTTATAACCTTGCTTAAAAATAAAAATTACTCTATATTGGTGCCCTCGGTTTGTTGTCACTAGGGTATGGAATAAGGGAAGCTGTAGTAATTCATACATGTTTAATTATTTTGTACAAATACACGAATAACAGATTAATTATGACTTTCAATTGGTAAAATATAATTTAATACATATTTTTATACAGTTATTATATATTGGCATAGGCATATCCAAGTTTTTCCCCATAAATTTTATTGAAAATCTTTAAATCCACTTATTGTAGACTGGCTATATTAGATATTTATAAAAATAATTTTGGGGTTTCCCCTTTATTTTTTTTATTAAAATGCATATATTCTAAATATTTTGAATTATAGTCGTTATTATAACTTTTACTAATTTTTCCATATAATGATATATTGTATACATTTTTTGGGAGAGAGGGCAGGGGAGTGGTGTAGGGGGTAAATTTTTATTAGATGAAAATGGTTATTACGAGAACAGGTAAATTTGCGATGGGGGGAGGGAATTTTGCGCTGTGGATTGGCTTAGAATTTTCCTATGGAAAATAAAAGTTTCAACCCTAGATTATTAACTAAATAGATACAATAATAGTATGTAAACTATACAAGGGAAAGAAATTACATCAATGTCTTTATCTGTGCTTTCTGGTAAAATCTTCACTAGTTCCAAACTGCTTGTCATTAGTAAATCATCGCGAATACTTTTTCATTCAGCGGCTAGTAAACTTAAAATTTCAGCAATCTTTTTTAAAGGTTATTAATACTATAAAAATAACTTAGGCTGTGTCCTGGTTCCACTTATTTTGATACTTATTGCTGCTTAATTTAGGCAAAACAGATTTTGAGCTAGAATACCCTATTTTTATTTGTTTTAAGTGTTTGGTGACTAGGTGCATAACCGGGGGGGGGGGCTATCGCAAATTTCCATGTTCTTATAAATATCATTTTAACCAATTAATTAAATTTTTTATAGAAATCCTTTTTTTTTAAAAAAATAGTATTTTAAAAAGATATTAACTTTACCAATTATCTTTTCAAATTCTTCTTTATAGTGATATTTTCTATACATTCTTAAGGGAAATGGGGGGGGGGGGTGGATGGTTGTGTAGGGGGAAATATGTTATTAGCTTAAAATGATATTTACGAGAACAGGCAAATTTGCGATGGGGGGTAGAGAAATCCCACTCCTTTGGTTACGCGCCTGCATTATACATTACTAATAAAAATTAAAATTCGACTGAGTCTGAATGGAATATATGTATGTTCGACCCATCTCATTTCTGACAGATTTCAGGATCAGTCAATTTTTGGCCCTACCTGGATTTTATATTTTGAAAACCGGCTCGAGTTTTTTAACACTTGAATGTTAAATGGCATGATTATCCTGTCAGTAATTTCCTGAAGGTCAACAACAGGTTCATAACGCCCTACAAATCATAAAAAATAGTCAGCTGGGCCGACCCGATTTGGTCGACGACATAATTAGATTTTTCAATAGGTTTCCACTCATTTTTCGGCTGTGGACCCGTCTTGACCTATTTCGATTTACCTTTCCCTAAATTAATAGTTTCTTTTAAAAATTCGGCCATGCCCGCTTTTGAAAAATTTATTCTTTATCCGAAATGAAATTATATATTAAAAGTTGTTATAAAAATAATTCATAAAAAAATGAATTGACTTTTTTATGATGAAAAAATTTCAAAATTATTTTATCTTGTTTAAATTTATAATAAAAGGTACTAATTATTTCAAATGGCTTATGAATGAATAATCCTTTAATTGTATAAGGTGCTTTGTTATATTGAAAAAAAAATTAATATAATTATATATTTTTTTTTTAAATACAGTGTTGACCAGATTTGATGTGAAACATTTCCATATTTTTTAATTTATTTGAAAATAAAAATATTTGACTTGCAAAAAAATTGTTAAAATAACATTTATAAAATTCTTATCAATTTTTACAAGTTAAATAATTTTATTTATAAACGAATTAAAAATTATGGAAATGTTTTCCATTAAATCTGCCACAACACTGTAGCGAAGAGAAAAAAATAAATAAAATTTACATAATTGAATCGGATTTAAAATAAAATTACCTCATGAAATTGTAAAAGATTTGTTGTGGAATGAGTAATTGAATGGAATGGACATGTTCATATATTCAATACGTTGGATTCAATCCTACTATTTTTTTCGCGATTTTGAAAATGTCAAATAAAATGTTTATTTATTATTATTATTATTATTTATTATAATTAGTTTTTTTTTCACAATATTTTGTATAATAAAAAAAAGACGAAATAATAATTTTTTTAAAAAAATAAAATGACTTTTTTAACGTGTTTAAAGGAAAATAATAGGTAAGAAGTTAAAGAAAAGGTGTTGGAAAGGGGAGAGAGGGACGTTTATTTATGGGACAAGTTATGACATTTTTATAATATATAATAATTATGCTATTATTTATCATTTTAAATATCATCTTGTAATAGGTATAATATAGGTAATGTGTCTCGTATAAAAATAAAGTCTCATGAAAAATAAATAAAATAGACGAAATGTTTATTTGAAAATAAACTATTTTTTTTAAGCGATATATAGGTTTGCAGGGGACAATATCCATTTTTATAATACAGCATAATCATAAATATTGTTCATTCCATTTATCCTGTTACTTGTTCGAATCTGCTCTGCTCGCTCTGGATTGGAATAATAACAATATTATATATTTTTTAAGAGTATTTAGCAAACCCGTTGTTTTTTTTTAAAAAAAATCATTTTATTTATTTTACCGGATGGATGACTAACTTATTATCTCATTTTAAAGAAACGGGAAACTAGAGTCCTACAAGTCGGCTTACTTCAAACCCTAATAAGAATCAGCTGGGCAAGTGGGTATAAATTTTTTTTAATAAATGTCGGGCCTTGGCAGATTAAGTATTTATAAATTTTTAAAAAACTTTTTTATTATTTAATTTTTATCTCAAAATAACAAATAAAATAAACAAAAAAGAAGAACAATTATATTTTTTTTTACTACCTGTCTTTTATTTTATTTTTATTATATTATATATATTTTTTTAAATAAAATATTTTATATTTTTTTTTTATAGTACACCGAAATAAAAATTAATTTCGCACATTTTTATTTTTTTAAAAAATATCTTTCTTTTTTGAATATCGAAAAATATATAATAAAATCATTTTTTCAAATTTTCCAAATTAGTTGTAGAATTTCTTTATTTGAATTTGTTGTCGCGCAGATTCGAATTCCTAAAATTATTTACATCCATCCTAAAAAGATATTCCTATACGAATGAATGTATGAATACGTCCATTCTACTACTTACGCGCGTTGTTATGAGGATGCCGTAGGCAAAAATAAAGGTAAAAAAAATAGAATAAATGGGTGCTTATTTTTTTTAATGTATTTTTTTTTATTTACCCAGATGATTTTTTTTAAAGAGAATTAAGATGTTCCTTCTTTGTTCGAAGTCACCGTTAAGAGGCGCATGTTGATAAAATAAGTTTCTGTTTTTCGCGCGTTTTTAATATCTATCTTTGTAATTTTTTTATAATATCTTTAGTTAGTCACATGCTCACATTAAATTTATTTCCAAAATTAAATGGCAACCCCCAAAAATCGGACAATAATTCTATTTAAAATAACTTTAATAAAACAATGGCGACATTTAGAGTTTTGCAAAACCGGTCCACACAGCCTCTTCTCGAATTTAATATGAGGCCCGTACGAGAACTATTTTAATATGTTCTGCCGGTCCGTTTGGGAGGGGGAATTCATAACTCTTATCCATCAGGCCTGCTGCCAAACCTAAAAATTAAAATTTTTGATACTGACGTGCTAGAAAACATCTTGTTCAAAACAGAAAATGTTAGAGAATGCTATCATATTGAATTGAACTCTTTAATGAAAATAAAATATGCTTAATTATCTGTTCGAAGAAAGTATAGAGGGTTTTTAGTTTATCCGAAAAACATGAATCTTTTTATGCTAAATTAAACTCAAATAAAAAGGATTTTTGTTGTTCTAATTTACATAAATTATTAAAAATTATCATAGTTGTTATATCAGCTTTTATACACATTATTTATATATTAAAAAAAATAATACTTAAAGTTTACCGATTTGTAAAAAAATAAGTAGAACTCTTACTTAATCTATGAAAATAAAATATATTATTCTCCTATCTAACCTTTAAAAAAATTTTCATTAGATGTGGCATTTTTGTCAACCCATAAATTACAAATTTATTTTGAAATGGGGGTTAGCTTTAAGTCTAATTTATAGTAAACGCGTTATGTTCAAGCGGTACGTTGCATAATTTATAAATATGGAGCGTTATGCTATGCTATTGTTAGCGTTATTTCAAAAAATATTAGATCTTCAATGTGTCATTGTTAATGCTATAAAAAATCAGCTGTGATTTCGATATCGTTAATTAACGCAACCCTTGAACATAACGCGTTTGCTGTAAATTAGACCTTATTCATTTTTTTTCGTATCCTAAAGATATTTTTTAGAAAAATTACCAATAACTAATATAAGGACTAACTTATGAGTCATTTATTGACACCTAATTGTTTAAATAACAAAAAAAATTGTCAATAACTCTAGACCTAAGAAAAATATTGAGAAAAGTATCGGTGGTTTTTATAACTTTTTTTAAAAAAAATACAAGTTTTATATACTACCAACAAGGGATCAGCGGCATCCGGGTATTCATCCCCCCTCCAGATTTATTATATTTATATATGGGATAAATATGTTATCTAATCCGAATTTTTTAGATAAACTTGACTCTCCCCTTCACGAATATATTTGATACTGGTAATGAATGCTCTTTAGAATTTTTTTTCTATTGAGCTTTACTATTCAAAATAAAAATGAAAAGTAGTTTTTCTTTGGAAACCCTCAGCATCTGCTTGCTTAAATTCTTTAAAAATATAGCCTCTGCTGTTTGATTACCTGTAAGATCTCCTTGGTTAAGCAAGCATTTTTTAAGCGTCAAAGAAGTCAACCAATACGAGGACTGACAAAAAAAGAAGACGACCTAAATTTAGTAAATTGTATCTGGGCGGGAAATATATATTGACTTAAATTTTTTATTTTTAATCTAATCGACTTAGAAATGCAAATGATTGTTTTTTTATAAATATATCCGGTCTCACACTTGATCCAGATTAGTGTTGTTAAACGACTCGATTTGAGCGAATTTTGAAAAACGGCTAGCTCAATATTTTGGCCGGAATAGTATTTACCCAAACTTCGAGTGTGCTATATTTTTCTGAATAAAATATTGAGCACGCAGTTTTTTTAAAAAAAATCGGCTCAAATAGCCATTTAACAAACACTAATCCAGATCGATCCGAAAAAGAATTTAATATGATTGAAAGTATTTAAATAAATCGGATATATGAAAGTGTTAGGGAAAAAAAATTAAAATAATAATTAAATTTTTGACCAAGTCACGCTCCACTGAATCTGGAAATTACTTTTGCCCGAATCCGAACCGGCTTGAAAAATATATTTCGAAATCAAGGTACGACCCGGCCCTACAAATTTTTTTGACATTCAATCTAATAAAATTTTTATGCTGGAGAAAAGATCTTTGGTCTTTTAAAGTTAAAGGAATTAATTTTACTGAAAAAAAGAAAAAAAGTAGCTAATTTACGTATTTCCTAGAAAATCCATACAATATAATTTAAAGAAGATGGTAAAATATTTTAAAAATATTCACATCACAATTTAAATATCTTATTTTAGAAAGTTGTTGAGACCCCAGTAACGTTCTATCTAATGCATTTTCGCTGTAATGCACTCGCTGTATGATGATCCTGCAATATTTTCGATGTATAACATTTAGAGGAATATCTTTTCGCTATATTACCTTTTGCAGTGATGACTGAATAAATATTACAGATAAATTTTTGAAACAAGGGTTGGGCTTAAAGACTTTGAAATGAAATTTCATTTATTACCCGCCATGCTTTAATATTATAGATTTCTAAATATTAATTTTGCGGAACTCCATATTGATTTTACATCAATATGACACTGACACCTATCCAATCACAGAATGAATAATAAAAATCATCTCTTTAAAAAAATGTGAATTTTTCCATTTGGAATTGGAATTTACCCCAAATTACATAATTTTACCATATGGTTTTCCTTTAAAAACATACTATCTTGTCTTACTTTTAAAAAAAAATATGTTTCATAAACCCGAAAAATACTGAATTTGAATAAACAATTAAAATTATCTTCCTATTTTTATCTTTATTTATTTTCTGATAACTTGTTATTTCTTTGGAAAACTTGCGAAACATATTTTATTACAGAATATTTTATCAGCCTCTTTTATCACTTTTTTTTCTTTTCAAAATATTAAAAAGCCCAAAATTTGAGCAAAAAGTCTTTGAAGATCAAGAAAATTTTGAGAATCAAACTGCAATTATTTTTATCTTTTCTAAAAATATGATTCCAAAAAAAAATATTTTCCCACAGATTTGAATATTATAATTAAATTTTTTTTTATTACTATTTTTCATATTTCTTTCGAAATGAATACAATAAATATAGACTTAAACTCACTATTGAATTTTGTTTTAGTAAACTGAAAGTTTGGAAAACGAAAAACAAAATTTTCTTACGGGGGAGGAGGGGAGTGGGGGTACGATGGATTCCATTTTATGAAAATGCAAAATGGCATGCTATATAAATGCAATTTGCATACAATACTTATAGCTCTATTACCCCAAATTTAATATATTTTATTTTCTATATTATATATTTTGTAAAATTTTTAACCAAAAAATGTAATAACTTTACATATGCTTTTTTTATTTAAAAATAAAATAATTTCATTTAAAGGAATTTGAAAAATTTCTTTCATTTTTTAAAGCCTTGTTTATTTAGAATTTTTGGTAGTTTAAGGTTGGAGTCTTGACAAAAAAAAAATTGTTGGCCCGAGACATTTTTGAGGCCATTTTAGTTTGGTTATTCATCCTCCCCGCGTATTAAAGGATGATATTTTACCTAGATGGAGGATGCGATACAATCATTTTTAAGCAAGTCACTTGAAAGATGGGGAGTATGTAACTTTAAACAACATTCTATTTCTCATTTACTTATTAAATTTTATCAGTGATGGATGTTAATAATTATGGTTTTAAATATAATATAAAAAATAAAGTAATCTAATTTATGATAACCATTTACCTCTGAACTTTGAGATTCCTCAGTTTGTTGATACCGGTTATTAATATTAGAATGTCTTTTTTTAATGAGAATACAGCTTTCACTTTCCTTTCTCTTAAAGTTACCCTTCTTCCCAAGTTTACCCTATATCCATAGGATAGTGCCCTGTTTTTAGCATGTATAGTATATATGCGATATTAATTAATAAATAGTATTTATATTTTCCAAGATTCTTCAAGGAAATACCACTGCCTCCAAAGATATTAAAGTTAACTGAGCGGTCATTGATCGCCATCTTGAATTTATGAAAAATGGTCATATAGTATAAATGTTTTCAAAATTTTGGCACCTATAGTAGTCCGCTATTTATATAGTAAAATATTTAATTTGGTTCTCTAGACATGTCATGAGTTTCTAAAAAATTAAATATATGCGCAGTGATTTTGATAAATTTAATTAATTATCATAAGTAAAGTTCGGCGCCAACTACAGGCGAAAATATTTTCAGGCTGGATAGCATGTGTAAAACATTTTTACGGACCGGACCTGTCGGACATTAGTTTAAGTATGCCCATATTTCATTACTGATGAGGCAAATATTACCTCTACAAAAGTGGACATGATAAACTAATTTATAAAATGTTAAGGAAAGATATTTTAAGTGTCAAATTAGAGCTTATATAAACTTTTGGAAATGCATAAAATTGGCATATTTTTGTGCCTGGTTTTTTTTGTTTACCATTCCTTTTAGATCGAAATAATTTCCTTTCTCAAAATAACAAATTAATTATTTTGCTTTTTTTTCGTAAAATAAATATTAAAATTCATCAATTAATTATAAAATTAAATTTACCACATCACTAATAAATAAAATGAGATCGTTAATGATATATAATGGAAAATTTATTTATATATATTGTTATTGGCCTCTTCCGGAGAATTCGCGACACGCTTGTTAATTCATTTTTACACAATTTTTTTGTTTCCTAATAAAAAAAATAAATATATTTTTTCAAAATGTAAATATTAATGGCGCACTTTGTTTTTAAAGACTAAGTGTAAGTTTTGACTTAATATGTTTTCGGGGTTAATGTATAATAGTATAATTCTTGCAAAGTAGAATACATTACATAATATGCTCAAAACCTGGGATTGATAATTTATATTTTGTCCTTGTAACTTAGTATCAGACCCAATAGGAATTCATCATTTGTCATTGTTCCGCGCTTATTATTTTTTCTTCAACCTTAAATAAATCTATATATCATTAAAATATCTTTTAGGGAGGAAAAATAAAGCCCAATATTTAAATAAATCACATGATTATATTTTTTTTAGTTTTTGAATCCCAATCATATAGAGTTGGTAAAAAATCAAGATTTTATTTGTAAAAAAATGAAATTGATTTATTCGATTAAATTACGATTTTTTAAAATTTAAATCAAATTTTCTGGAGGAGAATAATTCCTAAAACAAAGCTATTTATCAAGCATTCAGTCATTTTATTACATTAAGCATCAGTTTCCCTATTGAATTTATGAATAAAGCATTCTTAACTACCAGTAAAGATATTTTAAGTCAATATTTGCTCATTTATAATAAATTTAATATAATAAAATTTTAATATTAACAATATTTCAGGGATCCGAATTGATAAACCGGTATTACCCGTTATTATTTAAGAAACCTAACTTGAACCGTTAATATTTTTGTCACTTAAACCTGAACAGATCTAAAATGTCTATGAACTGGGTTGAAATTTTTGATATCCTAATTCTCATTTTGATTAATAAGTATTAATATTAAGTATTTTTAGATATTCACATATATTTCTATTTGATGTTGCCATGCCAACTACGCAAATACAGTTTTATCAGCAATAGAATTTATATATTTTCCTTATTTGGGTGATTGTGCATCATGAAATTTTAATTGTATAATATAGTTTTTTTTAGGGAAATGGTGAAAAGATTTTTAAAAATATGCTTCTTTCACATAATTTTTTTTTCATGCGAAAAGGTTCGAACCTTGTTTTAAGAAATCAAACCTACCGATTTATTTTTGCCAACCGAACCATGAACCGTTATTTTTATCTGATCTGAACCTATATTAGTTACAACCGGTTCGAATATTTGATTGAACATTTATATTTTATTATATAAAATATAATAAATAATATTTATAAACTGTATCTAAATTAATTTTGTTATCAACAGAAATAATATTAATTAAACAGGATAAAATAATTATATCGAAAATTATACTTCCTGCTTAGCACGACACCAACCCTACAAAATCATATGATTTTTTTATATTTTATTTGTCATTTACCGAGAAACTTTTTAAAAATTTAGAATTTTTTTTAAAATATTACAAATCGAATTAAATATCAGTGAAATATTCAACAGTTGACACGGATCGTAAAATATATTTTATAAATATGTTCCTTGTCATTAATTTCATCTAAGCATAATTACGAATCTAATTATTTCATCTTTCCTTCATATTTATATAGTAATGAATATAAAAAAGATTAAACAATTCTATATAATATTAATTGGGGGGGGGGGCAAAACGTATATTTTTGAAAACATTTTACCACGCATACCTCATTGATTCCCTTAGAGGGAGCTCAAGTCCTAGTGAAACTTAAGTTCCATACTTTTTTGAATAGAGATTTCCTTGTTTGGGGATAAGTCTCCCATCCCAGTGACTTCTTCGAAGTTATTACCATTGAAATATGCAGTTATGAATACGCTATCGTCATTTGAATATTGGTTGGGGGACGGAGGAGGGATGATTTGGTGGGAGGGAATAGGTGATTAAATTTTCTAAATAGTGATATCGTCATTGGCTTAGGAAGTTTCGTAATCCCTGCCTCACCCTATCACTAGCACGCCGTAAGTGCTGATACGCTAACATCTGGAGAAAACTTGATGGCATCTATTAAGAATTACAATTGTCTTATCAACAGGACTTTATTTGGTTGGTCTTTTTCGAAATTATGTTAATCCACTTTACTATATATCCCAATTCTCAATTAATAGACATCTTTATATCAATACAAATTAAATTAGAGAAACACACCTAATGACCTATCTAAAATCATTTATTCAATTAGCATTTTACGGATAACGCAATTATTCGTTACGAAAATTCGATTACTATAATAATAAAAAAATTGTTCGTAAATATTTTAAATTGTTTATATATATTTTAATATTTAACATGTTCCTTGTGGATCCCTTTATTTTGTAAAAATTTATACCACAATTTATAATTTTTTTTAAAAAATAAAATTTAATTTTTGAATCATCCTTATGGACGAATGCGACTAATGCCCATATATTTTGAATACGAATCATTCAATTATTCGATTCGTATGTTAGATTTCCTTGAGGCAGTATCGACTAAATTTTAATGTAAGATATAAAGCATTTAGATTTAATTTAGATGAATTCAATAATATTCCAAATGGTTGTTTAGTGTAATGCTTTTATTCTAAATGTTCGATTAAACAGATTATTTATGGAAACGTTTAATTGTGCAAACGTGATTTTTTTGGAATAAGCATAATATTATTTTTTCCTTAAAATAACGACGAATAAAGGAAAACACTTTATTTAAAGATATATATTTTTCCATTATTGCTGTCCTCCAAAGATGACCATTTTTTCATGGTGTCCATCTTCTTATTGATCCCTTGCTGAAAAATACTTGTAAAATTTTATATATTGACCATCTCTCTAAGGAATTTTCAATATATTTTTTTAAATCGATTTCTTAACTACAAGACCTTTTATAAATATTTAGTGTATTATTTGGCATGATAACTTAATTCGAATATATTTTTTTACCATGTTTGAATTAATTTTGAAGAAATTTTAATTAAATTAGATGAAAATATTAATTTTTGGCGACGTTAGAGCACTGTCAATTTTGGATTATTTTCTTATTTTCTGCTATATATTTATAGTCTATGTTATATAATTTGCTAACAAAAAATTTTTGAGTAAAATTTATTTCGGGTATCATTTTTATGTATATTGACATTTGCCTTTTAAATCATTATTGCTTACAAAAAGTAGCCTTAAACCTCATTCATAGTTATCGCGAATTCGCGGCCGATTTGTATACTTCACCACGAATACGCGCTAACTTGAAAGTAGGGTTATGTATAAAAGAAACTAGACCTCCCATTTTAATAGATATTGTTTTCTTTATAATTTAGGTGGATTACTTCATTCTCGAGCTAATCCCTTTTTTTAGCATAAATATATATTTTTTAAATTGGAATATTTGTTTACGGTGTCTTTTCTCAGATTACCTTGTTATAAATGACCCCCCCCCCCCCAATCTGCACACTTAAAAAAATATAAACATAAAAAAAATTATTCCCATCACCCCCAATGTTTATTTTAAAAAAATTTTTACCTCAAACTTTTATTACATTTAAATATAATATATCTCATTTTAATTAAAGAAATCTTGCCAACCACCACACTACACTGTTTTAAAACAATTTTTTTTAACCAGCTGATATTTAAAAAGAAAGATAAAAAATAATTTAAAATATATAGAGAATATTTTACTTTCTTTTCTTTATTTCAATTCTGGTGTCAAAATTTACTTTTTTTTCATCAAGAAAAAAGTTTTTACACACACATACAGAATCATATTGCGACATAGTTATTATATAATTATTAGTTTCTTTTTTGTTCTACATTTTATTTTATAAAATTAATAATATTTTTTTTTATTGATTAGATTAGTCGATTTGTTTTATTTATTTTTATTTTATATTATTTTTCTTTTTTTGTTATCTCACAGATGAAAGGGACGCGATACAAAAGAAAACCTTTACTAAATGGGTCAATAAGCATCTTAAAAAGGTAATTATTAATTATTATTTCTTCAAAAAAAATGAGGGGGGGGGGAATATGCGAAATTATAAGGGAGACATGACAAAATACCTATTTTATAACATGGAAATTAGAGATATGCAAATGACAAAATTTTTAGGTCTCGGGATTTATTTCCAGGCCAGTTTTATTTTTTTACTAAAGTTGCTCGACCCAGTTTTTAAAATAAAAGGCCCAACCCAAAATATTTTTAGTTATACTAATGAGTGGTTAAAATTAAAAAACATTATTCTTGAATTACTATCAAAAAATATCAGAATTCATTGATAAACCCATAATGTGCCACATTTCTGTCAATGATGATTTGACCATGTTTTGAGATAAAAATCCAAGATTAATGATCAAAAATATGAGCAAGAAAACCTTACCAATAATATAGATTATATTTAATTGCCGGGTTATTTACTTTTTTCTGACCTTGTCCTAGGATTGGCAAAAATACAAAAAAAAAATATTTTTTCGCGATTTAAACCAAATAAAAATAATTCAATTTTTAATTAATATATGGTCTAAGTATTGTTTTTTTTTAAATTTCAGTATAATATTTGCAAGTAAAGGACTAATGCTCAAGAAGTCAGGAAATTGTTGAAAAATTAAATAATGATATATGTTGTAATTTGATATTTTCTAAATAAAGAGACGATGATATATAATAGTTATTTTCAAATAAAATTTAATGGGCACCTTTAATGATTTTATTTATTATGATGTTAAACAAAGGTGGCGATAGAGTACAACCCTGTTTTATAACTTTTTGAAGGAAGGGGATATTTTATTATTGATTTTGAAGCATGCAAATAGGTTGAAGTAGTTAATTTTTAAAAATGTAGATAATGTTGTGTTCTATGCCACACTCTGACAGCGTTTTCTAGAGCTTCATGATTAACATTGTCAAAAGCCCCACAGAAATCTACGAAGATGAAGTAAAAGAGTAATTTGTATTTGCATTTCAGGTCTAATATGGGCTCTTGTATGTTTTTCTTGGTCTATACGCGCATATGTATTTGGAGAAAAGGTGGGATGTGGATGATATAATTTTATTTTTGAAGAGGACCATAAAAATCTGAAACGCAGTATGTAAGGGCTACGCCCCGATAATCTGATATTTTTATGGAACTTTGATTTTAGGGAAATTACATAAGAAGCATTTGTTCCATTCTGCTGGAGTTTTTCCGCTTTTCCATATTTTATTGAAGAGGGGTAATTGGAAGGAAGATATTACAGGTGAAATTTTTAGATATTCCGCTGTAATGGAGGACAAATTCACAGACAAGTTACAAATTGCCTATAATATAAATGGAATGAATTAACTGTCCTCTTATGGATGTTACAAGCGGAGAAATTAGACATAGGCATTCAAGAAACCCACTGTCCAGGAAATAACACTGCATTTCAATGATTATAAAATTTTTTGCCCAGTTACCACTTTCAACAGCTTGGTCCAAGATTTTATTCCTAATAAATAAACGAATACAAAATTTCATTACCAAATTCGTACCCATCTCTGAAAGATGTGGTCTTCTTTACCTAAATACACAATTCAGACCCACAATAATTGAAAATTTCTATGCCTCACCTAATAGAAATGAGAGATTAGGCTTCATTGATATAATGCAAAACATTATTCCAAGAAAAGAACCTTTCGGATTGGACGAAGACTTACCCCTCCAGTTAACGAATTCGCTGCGGATAATAATTCGCGCTCACTCTGAATGAGGAGTCAAGCATCTTTTTTTTCAAAATCGGACGGTTAGAACCGCGAATCTAAGCCCTATTCATAATAAACAGGGATACGCTGATATCACTTCTTTTTTAGCCATTTTTCGTCAATACCGCCGAAACTGATGCCAAAAAAAAGTGATCACTATTATAATATAGTGTTTATTAAAAGAAAGATTTAACTTATCATAATAAAAAAAATATCTAATTATAATTATTGATAAAATACAAAAAATATTATTTCATCCGAAATTAGGTGGGCAAAAAAGTGAACCATATCTACGAAGACTTAAGAGATGGGGAAAATTTATTGTCTCTTCTGGAAGTACTATCCAAATCCAACCTCGTAAGATAATTTCATAACTGACATTCCTATTTTATATATATTTTTTTGTTTAACCGATAAATATATTGTCCAATTTGTTTTACTTTAGCCTCGCGAAAAAGGGTGCCTACGATTTCACATGTTGCAAAACGTGCAAATAGCCCTCGATTGCTTGAAATGCCGATCGGTAAAAATGATAGGCCTCTTTAAAAAAAAAATAATTTAATTTTAGCCCTCTTATTCCGGTTATAACGTTCTCCCGCCTTTTGAAATATTAAAATTTACAATGTAGTTAAATGGTTCTTTCCCTCTTTTTTACGTTAGATCTGTTTTTTTCACAGGATTAAAAATATATTTTTTTACAAAATAAATCATACATTTAAAACGTTACCTCATAAAAAAACGAAATTAGATTAAACTGGTTAACATCAGGAGCGAGGACATTGTCGACGGAAATCAGAAATTGACCCTGGGTCTGATCTGGACTATAATTCTCCATTTCCAAGTTTGAAATATGAGCAAGTCTATATTTAACATTTTGTCTCATTAAAATCATCATTTTAAACTTAAAGTGCATTTTGTTGTATAATATATCGTCGGCAGAGTATTATATGTTATAGCGTTATCATTTATTTAAAATACAAGAAACTTATATTTTAAAAATGATCCCCTGAAAAATTTTGAACAAGGGATATAAAAATAGAACATTATAATACTCAACCGACGATATATATAAATCGACCTATTTATAATCCAATATCTATTTTTTTTTGCTTTGCGATTATAGGATACTGAGGTAAAATATTTTTGTTTATTTCCCTCTAAAAACAACTTATTATTTAAAAAAAAATTCTTTTTATATCAAAAATAAAGGCTCATATAATTTTCTCTTTGAAGTAAATGTTTGTATTGTTTTTCAAAACCTCGTAAAAAATAAATTGAATAAATATTTTAAAAAATGTACCATTTATTCTTTTCAAGATATCCGACATAGTCGCAAATGGTCAAAACCAAGATGCCGGTTCTGCCAAGGAAGCGCTTCTCAATTGGGTCCAATCCACTTTGATTCCTTATTCAAGGATCAGGGTCAAGGATTTTACCGAAAGTTGGAAAGATGGCATGGCCTTCAATTACATACTCCACCGATTCAAGTAATATTAACCATCATTTGGCAATAGCCTTTAACAAATAATATATATGTGCCAAATACGAAATGATAACATTCCGAAAAATGATTTAAAATAAATATAAAAAATATCAGTAGCATCCCTAAAAGGAGTTAAATTGCTACCAGCACATCTAGTTTTTTTTGTGCCAAAATGCTTAACCTCTTCAACCATCATGATTGTAAGATGTATTATACATAAACATTGAGCCATGAATCATCTGTAGCAGTTATTTTACTTGGAAGCAGAGTTTGTAACCGAACTATTTCCTTGTCGAATTTCTGTATCTTGATTTTGCCCCACAACTAAAAAATAAATAATGCTCATTTTTTTTGTTTTTAAATACTTTTAATAATTATGTGTTCTACATTTTATTCTTATTACATTTAGGCCAGATCAGGTTGATATAAAAGCTTTGCTAAGACTTGCGCCCATGGATAGGCTTAAGCACGCCTTTGACGCTGCTCAAAAAGATTTTGGGGTTACTAAACTGTTGGATCCTGAAGGTTATTTATATCTTATATTCGCTTCCGGTGTTTTAAATATCATCTTAAAATATAAAATTAATTCCCTTGCACCCCCCCTACCTTCCCCTTCACTTCCTCCTAAAAAGTATGTAGGAAAAGCATGTTCACCCCCTTGAAAAATAAATGCAATCTTTTCATAGGAATTAAATACTTAAATATATAACCAAACTCCATCCATATTTGGTGGGTTTATATCGAATTTTAAATGCTCAATAAATGATATATTCTCAAGTGCTTTTGTCCTTTTTTTAGTAAAATAAAACATCTGTTTGGTTTTAAAATAAAATTTCAAACCAAATGTTTGCATTTTAATGAAAAAAAAGAAGAAATTATATAAATTACAATTATAAGTGCTAATTAATTACATTACAAATGAACCAATATAAAATTAAAATATTAAAATAATAAAATATATTCACTTAATGGAATAGATACAAAATTGTAAATAAACAAGCAAAAAAATTTTTTTAGGGAGAATTTAAAACTGTCCTTCCCATAGAAAAAACAATTGAAGAGTTTTAAGTTTTTATTTGCCACACAATAGCGCGCTAAATCGAGTTAACTCGTTATTATGTTATTGTATGTCTACCTCTTTTTCTTACATTTTTTTGTTTTAATCCTTCCGTTCCGATATATTTTGTTGAAAACTGACTTATGTTAGCTGATTTTACATACATTATGATTTACTAATTTTACGTTATTATTTTTAAAAAATATCAGATGTTGATATCGAGAAACCGGACGAAAGATCTATCATTACCTACGTGTCCTCCATATACGATGCTATGCCGGAGACACCGGCTTTTTCCAATGCACATTTAGATAACGTTTAGATATATTTTAATTTATTCTCACATTTTAACTACTTCAATCTTCGAAGAAAATATAATTTTACCTTGACAAATTTACAAACATTTTTTTGCCGCATATGAAAAAGGAAGAAGTGCCCTTTAATCTAAACTTGAATTCATTCAATCTAGAATATTTTCGAATCTTTAAAAAAAACGCGATTTAGTGATTTATTAGTAAGACAGAACTGAAATTTATTTAAATCTATTTTGTCCACTATGCCAATCAGCTAAAGGCATCTTACGTTAATTTATTCAATGTTTTGTATTTTTATTAAGTTTTATAAAAATGAATAAAATATTTATCATTAAAAAAATTCACATGATTTTTTTTTGCCAATCATTCACCATAAAAAAAAGGAACTGAAGTTGAAGATATCTGATTACGAAAAAAGGGTATCCTCTTTCGTGCTATGGCTCAATAACGCCGAAAACTTTATGACGAAATACGATGTCAGCCTAACACCTGAATGCGTTCAGGTAATTCCTAGCATTTCGATAAGATAAAAGGATATTAACCTTAGAAATATTCGAGTTTTATTGAATATTTTGTTTTTAAAAAAAAAGTTTTATTTTTGTATATTTCAATCTTTTTTTAAATATTTATTTTGAAGAAACCTTACATTTATTTTTCATAGAAAAAGTACAAGGTAATTAGTGAGGACTATTTTAATCATATCATGGCCATGTTAATATTTATATTTTTTTTGAAGTTATAAATGTTACTTCAATGAAATTATAAAATTTACATATACATACTAAAGAATAAAATGTAAATGATCGATGTACTTGTTAAAAATTCATGATTTATTTTCTCGTTCTATCCTAAGTTGATTTAAATTTTTTTTTAAAAAAAAATAACAAAATAAACAAACAGGAAGCAATCAACGGGCTCGAATGGTTCGTTAAGCGCGAAAGATCACCACGGGAATTTGAAAAATCTGATTTATACGCTACATACGAAGAACTACAAGTTTATTATAATTTCAACCATTTCATCCTGGCTGGATTATTGAAGAGCTCTCCCTCCCCTCCCCATCATCCATATATCATTTTAATACCGAAATAAAAGTGCTCATTTATTTATCAAGGAAAAAAAAGTATTTTAAATTTTTAATTAAAAGCATTTCTATTCGCAAAAAAATTTACAACAAAAATGGCAAAAATTAAACAAGTAACATTCAATCTTAAAATATGGTTGGGTTGTATTATATAGGAGGGCACTCCAACGGCCCTACGAATACGGAAAGTAAACGGAATAGATTTAATCATTCAAAGCGAGAATCTCGTGTTGATTTCAAATTTTTAAGCAATAGTGAAAATAATATTAATAGACGATAGGGAAGTAATTATTCAATATCGCTTTGAAAATATTCTGGCTGATATAAGTGAGATTCCCAATTTTTAATGATTTTTATTTTCGCGATTTAAGCCCAGGAACCAGGTAAACATATATAATCTCTTTTTATTTTAGGGAAGGGTAACTTTAAATTAAAAAAGCATATTTTAAATAATTAATGAATCAAAAATGGGCAAACTCACGTGAAATCTTTAAATTAATTTTTTTATAAGGAATTCGCTGCGACATTTTGCGATAAACACAAGTGGGAGACCATTTTCTCCAAAGCTACCAATCCCCTCGACATCGAAAAAACTTGGGACAACTTGTCCATTCTCGAAGAGAAAAAACGCCAAAATTTACGATATCTATTCGAAAAGTGAACAAATTATTTATTATTCAAATACAGAAATGAAAGTTAATTTTTTAGTGCTAATAAAAATCTCAGAAAAAAAGAAGTGCAATAAATTTTTTGGCAACTTTAAATTTATTTAACTATTTTTTGGGGTGTTAAGCACCCCTAATCCCCTCTTCTGACGTCGATATATTTTGATTATTATATATTGATAGATTGCATGAGTTTAAAAGAAATATATAATTTTATATTAAGAATATGATTTATTGACCTTTTTTTATCATTCCTTGTTGCACCTATACAAAATAAGTAAGATAAAGACTAATGTCTTATTTCCTAACGTTTATCAATAAATATTATCAGAAATTTTCAACTGATACCTCAAATTTTTAATTGACACATAAATTTTAAAAAAAATTTCTACGAAAGAAAGAAGGCGTTTTAACCCCCCCCCCCCCCTTTTAATTTACTTTTGTAAATTAATTATAAATAATAAATAAATTTAAAAAAAATTGATAACATTGAATATATACGCTACCGGCCATAAATGATTGGCCCACCCTGCATTTTCTTAACATTTTTCTTAAAATAAGACAAATAACACACAATATGAGGTTTATCGAATTTATTTAAAAGTTTACATATTATTGCATAAAATTACAAAAAATAAAAGACATAGCAATTAATTAAGATCAAATTTTGGTCTCATCAATATCACCACCTTTATTCTTAATAATGCAAAAATTTTTGGTAATCTTTCTATGAGATTTTTTAAATATTCGTAAGTGATATTGTTCCATTCTCTCTTCAATACTTTGAAAAGGTGCGAATGAGAGGTTAGTGGGCTTTTTCGCGCTTGTCGATCAAGGTGATCCCATAAAAGTTCGAATGGATTGAGATCGGGAGACTGGGATGACCAAGTCATCAACTCGAGAATATTATGTTATTGTAGATTTTGTAAATAATCTTTGCATAGCCTGGATGTATGCTTTGGGTCATTATCTTGTGAAATAAAAAGTTATTCCCTATCAAACACTTTCCTGATGAAATCACATGGTCCTCAAGGATTTGCCTGTATCCCTCCTTGTTAAGGATTCCTTTAATTTTGACATTATTGGCGGTTGCCCGGCACCAAAGCACCCCCATACCATAACAGACCCTCCCCTGAATTTGAATGTAGGAATTATGCAGTGATCGCTCTCCAGCTGAGCGGCGGATATATTGCCTTCTTATAGAACCGAAGATTTCGAATTTTGACTCATCACTCCATAAGACGTGGTACCAGTTGGCAGATGTCCAAAATTGAAAGAAAGAAAGTCTAATCGCTTGAGTTTATTTTTTTTGCTCAAGAGTGGCATTTTGACAGCTACCTTACCATAAAGTTCAAAGCTCATTAGGAGCTTTTCACAGTTGTGACACTTATTGGGTTTTACCGACTTAGATTAATCTCCGCAGCTATCTCTGAGGCGACAAGGCGTCGATTGCGTTTACTGATCCTTGCTATACACCTATCATCGCTTAAAGTCGTTTTTCGGGGTCTTCCAGGCCTCTTTGGATTCGATATTGTATAAATGTTGCCTAATCTTTTAAGTATACAACCGACTGTTCGTCGAGCTAGGGTTAATTCTCTGGCAATTCGGCGATTACTTTTACCACTTATGTGTAAATTAATTATTTTGCATTTAGTTGGAATAGAAATTTCTTTTCTTTTTATCATTTTGGTCGAATGTTCGTTAAATTTATAAAGACTGAAAGTTTCTTTAAACAATGATTTAAAACAAAAAAAAATCTAGGAATTTTTTTTAAAATAATAAAAAATAGGTCTTAATAAGCAGATTAGAATGTGATTAATGACTTTCTTCCAAAACAATGGGCAACTTAAAATTGTTGCTGAAAAAAACTAATAACTCTATTTTACTAAATTGGTCATTTTTGAAATGTTATTTCAAAGGCTAAAATTTCATAGAAAGATTTATAGAAATTCCGAGTTTTTTATTTCTAAACATGTCTAGATATCTTAAATTAAATAATCAATTCGCTTTTACCCAAATAAGTTAAAAAGTTTTAAGTTATTAATTTTTTTATATAAAAGTGCAGGGTGGGCAGTAATTTATGGCCGGTAGTGTATATATCTCTCCTTTCTTTTCCAATTCTGAAAAACACTATTTATTTTATTTTAAAGGGCCAAAAATCCCACCCCTTCACAAATCGTCATTTCAAATCAATCATCCCACGATAGGCAAATCCGAATTGAGCTGAAGACGTCCAAATCAGAAAATAACAAGGCGATCGTTGATTCTTCGAATGAAATATACGCACTTCCCTTTTACAAGGATTACCAAAATTTTTTGGGGCAATTTAGGGAAGCGTTACGTGATAGAACGGTTTAAATCTTTACACTTAATTAGCGTGAAGGCGGAGCCTAATTTTTTTCGTTAAAAACTTGGCTAAGCTTCTATAGAGGTCGGTTTGAGTTGAACGATCGACTCATTAACACGAATGTCGACAATCGAAAACATATACTAAATCGAATATATTTGGGAAAAGGGGGAGGGGTATATCTTTCATGTTTTAGAGAAATTTGAACAAAATTATTTTATGACGGGACACGTGATTCCTTAAATGAGTTACTAAACCATTAATACATGTGCTTATTGTTTTAATAATGATAAAAAATATTTTTTTCCCTAATAAGATTTGGTTGGAAAATTTAATCAAAAATCTGGATATCGTTGAATTGGAAGACATTGTCGTCAACTTCAATAAAGAAGATACGCATTTGTCAAAGCTGCTGACTCAGCTCGAACGCATCGAAGAGATCAAAGTTGATCATAATTTTATTATCAATCACATGCCCTACTTTCTTATTTTTAACCACCCCCCCCCCTAATTTCCTCCATACCAAAATCGATTAAAAATTTTGAAGGTTTTTTGTTGTATTTGTATTATGTTCAACTTATATTTATTTTAAAAAAATAAAAAGGTCAAATTATGTGATAAAATGAATTCTCACACCAACGCTTCAAAGCACCAAGCCATTATTCATCAAGAATATTTGGATCAAAAAAACGTGTATACCAACCTCGAGGTTTTTTTATTTATTTTACAGCAATTTATGATCAAGTTTATCTAACATATTCAATCTTAAACTTGTCACATAAGTGTTGTGCAATTAGAGCCTCACTCATTCATTTAATATCTAGCATTTTGAAGCAACGTCTGGTAATCCGGTCTATTTTATATGTATAAATATAAATTTATCAACCCCCCCCCCTTCATCTATAGTCTCATAATTTATTTTAAATGATTTGATGATCTCTTATGAATTTAAAAATGGAAGTTACGTTACGATGAAACTCGGCGTAACTTGAACGATCTTCAAGATTTCGTTAACCTATCTATGACCTTGTTGAGTTGGTTGAACCAGCGCGTCGAAGTGGAGATTAGGAGGGATTGGGCCAGCTTGAGGTTCGATATGGACGCCACGCAGAGATACCACAAGGTTATTTTTAAAAATTAAATATGTCGTCGGTCTCACAGCAAGACTTTGCCCTGCATTCACAGTTCATATTTTGTACACTTCTCGTCGCGAACTCGCACTAACTGTGAATGCTGGGTAACTAACATTTTAAAATTTTACAGGAGAGTCAAAAAACGCATTTTATTATTAATAACAAATCGAATTTAATATGAGCTATTTAAATAATAAAATCATCTTTTATAATATGAATAAGCATCTTTTTAAACAGAAATTATAACATTAATTGTGAAATTTATTACATATGTTTAAAAGTAGAATGAAAATTTTAAATATTGATATAATAAGGCATTTCTAAATTAATATTAACTTACTAGCTCTTAATATATGCTAAGGAAACATAAATAAACCGCAAAAAAATAGACATTTTAAATAAAAATTGTTAAACCTTTTTGTAGTGAAACAGACGATAACTAATATTGCGATAAAAGATTACATTTAACTATCCTTTATCTAATGAACGAATGAAACTATGTGAACCAGCTATTTTTATTCATATGGAAAGAACGAATTTATATAATTTATGTTTTATATAATTTTCTTTATTTTAACTTCTTTTTTCCCTTTTTTAAACATCAGCAATTATGTGTGGATATGATCGAAAAGAAACTCGATTTGGACCGCTGCATCGATGTCGGTAACGCTCTATACAATCTAGGTTATTCGTCTTCACAAATTAAAGTATGAAAAATATATATGATACAGAGATATACCGGATTCATTTTTATACCTGCACCGGATTCTATAAAAAATATTTATTAATTCCTCTATACGTAGAATAAATAAATATTATTGATAGACAGCATTCAATATTCTATTCACCAAGATATGAAATTTTTGTATCATAAGCAGATACCCCGAAGTAGTGAAGCATTATAACGAATGAACCTATATTATTTTTCTGAACCAGTTTAAAAACCGCTTTGTTTTATATTAATAAATTTTAAATTAAGACCATAGTTTGATTAGTAAAACTTTCTTGCTAAGTTTTTTATTTATTTTTAAAAACGATAATTTTTTGTTGCATGTATATTTAAGTTTAGATATAAAAGTCAAACTTTTGTGATGAAAATAATTTTCATTTTATGCATATCATATTTTATTTACAGCGATTGACTAATATACATTACAATTTACAAAATATCAAATCTTATTTAATTAAATATTTTCGACCTTTGGAATACATATTACTAATATACCCTCTATTTTTTTTTACTGATAAATCTTAAATATTTATTATACTTTCTAATAGTTGTGTGTTGCATATTTTTATAATCAAATTAATTCCTAATAGTACAGATTTGATTTAAATATTACAAAAATTTCAAAATCCGGAAAAAAACTTTACCGTAACTGAACTGAATCTTTTTAAAATCTAAGCAGCTGATCATAACCGAAGAACCTTTTAAAATCTAAAAAGCTGAACCGTTACCAAACCTTAATTTCTTAATTTTTCCCCTCTGAACCCTAACCTAAACCTTTATAGGTGGCCGTCCTGGTTGTAAATACTTCGTTTATTAATTTCGCGTCATTTAAAAAAGCCCGATTAACAACTGGCTATTCTTAATAGCTGGCGATCATGAATCCGATGCATCCCTAATATGATACATAATTAAAGTAACCTTTTTTCAATATTGGTAATTTTGATAGTGCCTCATCAACTCTTTGCAAACTCAATGGGTCTGGTTAAATCAACTTGTGAATTGTTTTGACGTTCATTTCGAAACTAAACAAAAGCACAACGAAGTAAAAATTATTAGTTTTTGATTAACACTTTTGTAGATTCTTAAAATACTTATTAATGTTATTAATTATAATAGATATTACTTTCTTGTTCGCAAAACACCGAAATAGATCTTGTTACATTTCAAAACGCGCATTGATATCTGGGAAATTTTATATAAAAAAATATAAATGCCAATGATATTATCTTAACGCGTCACTATCATTATAGATATTGACATATTTTTTTGTATTTCTTTTAAAATATGAACCAGGGCTCTAGACCCACTATTTGGGTTCAAAAATTTTAAACACTTTTTTGGAAATTGGTCAACAAATTTAATAGCGATTATTTTAAAATTGGCCTGAACTCCTTTTTGGAAAATACCCTGCCTTTAAATGGGTTATCAAAAATTTGTCCCATATTCGCAATGCAAATTTTTGGACTCTTAAATGTGTCCAAAACCTTGTATAAAACACTTCTAATTTCTTATATAAGATCAACGCCGAGGTCATTGAAATCGAGAAGACAATATACGAAACGCTTAGGAGCATAAAAACCTCTTCCTCCCAACAGTATTTTAAAACAGAGACTCCGTCTCCCATCAGTTTCGCCGAGACTCAAACTCCACACGTCAATGGTCATTCTAAACCAAATAATTCCACGAATTCCGATTCCAATTTACTATCCGCCTCCGATAATATGATGATCGGGAACAATAATGTAGCAAACAATTTGAACCGCGATTTTAGCAGTGATAGTAGCTTGAACGATTGCAAAAATCATCAAAATGGTTACGGGCCCAAGAACGGGACCTTCTCATATGATTTGGAAGGGGATAATAGGTTGAAACTTATCAAGGTAAAATGATTCGGTTGCATTTTTTTAAGAATATTTTTATTTCTTAATGCAATTCAGGTCTACTATTCCTGAGAAAATGTTTAGGATTGGGGATGGGAAAAGGAAACAAAAAATTTGAAGAAACCCTAAAAAAATAAAGAAATTTTAATTCCTGTTATTAGAATGCATAATTGAATTTATTATATTGTTTATGCAATATTCCTTTTCAAATTATTCAGGAATATTCGTCCTGCTTGTAGAAAGCGATCAGATATTAAATATTTATTTCATAGATATAAATATTATCCGAGAAATTTAATTTTAAGTGGGATCCCCTGATTAACATCAAACAACTTCCTTCTTCTAATTTTAAAATTGAAGAATTTTACATTTATTTATCAGTCCTGTGGCGATGTGTTAGAAGATTGTCACGATAAGTTGTTACGCCTGAGACAACAAGCTCAAATTTTACCCTCCATAAATGCCAGGAAATTCAAAACGAAAGAACCTCGCAAACTCAAAGCTCTTTGTGATTACAAATCTACCAAGGTTTACTCTATAGATTTTGTTATTAGTATTCCTTTTTTTTTTTTAAATTAAATATTATTTTTACGTTTAGCCATGAATAATAAGAAGGAAAGAAAGAATAAATTGTACATTATAGGTGATTTTTTTTTGACACCGTTCCCCATTAAAATGAATGACAAATATATAAATTACTAAATTTGGTAGCGCTTTTGTTTGAACCGGTTAAATTTTAAAATGGCCTCCGATTTCCTATAAATTAAATTAAAAAATGGTTTTCGGTTCCCGTTCCATATGTTGTTTATATTCTCTTCCTATTTAACACCTTAGGATCAAATCTTGAACGGTAGCGAATATTGGTTAGTGGATAATCAAAACATAACCTTTTGGAAGATCGTGGGTTGCATCACTAACAGGGAACACGCGTGCCCTTCTGTTTGTTTTATAATTCAGCCTCCCTCCGAAGACTTGCTCAGCTGCATAGAAAAGTGAGCTATTTGTTTTTAATTTTAAGGGTATATAATCGTAAATATGTACACCAACACTCAATATATTATTTAAAATTTTTTTTATCTTCGTTAAGTTTGCTATCCATCCTCAAAAGATCTTTCGAGAATTGGAAAATATGCTATGCAAACGTTCAGTATCAAACCATCATGACAAACATCATCTCTATCAATAGATGGGACTCAGAGGTTATATTTTATAAGTTACACAATGTAGGTCCTCATTCTGATTGTCTCAGTCTTGTTGTGGTCCATAATAAACATCCTAGATGAATTGTAAAGGCCGAAAATAAACATACTAGCTGAACTGTTTTGGCCTAAAATATCCTTGCTGAACTTAACGGACTCTAATATTTTATAAATTAAATAAATCAAGCGACTGGGCTTGGTCGGTACAGTAATTTTTTAGATTCGGCCCATCCTGTTATATATTGAAATAAATAATGATCGTGCCAATTATCGGAAGTGACTTTTATAATTTTTTAATATATATTTATTTTACACGTTGTTTTTATTTTTTAGGATATACACGATGATATCAAGAAAAGCGTTTTAGTTAAAATGAAAAATCTCATAAATGATCTAATGTCAAAGCAAGAAAAGGGCACCATTATGGACGCGAACGACATTGAAATCATGAAAGAAGAAATTTCGGCTTGCTATGTGCTAAATTTGGCATTAATTTCCGAAAATGTTGGTTAGAAAATTATTTATTAATTTAGGTTTGATAGACTCAAAACCTCTGTAAATAATGAAAGTTATGTATAGAAAGCTGTTATTATTTATTACTAATTTAAATGTTTCATGAATAGACTCATTCATAATGGTTACTACTCCCCCGTTCAGGTTTTTTAAATTTCGGGGGAGATATACCGGATCATGACCTTCAACCTTTCGCAAAGAAAGCATGGAATATATATTTTAATTTTCGTTACGTCTTTTAAATAAATAAGATGAAATAGTGGTCGATGTGGGGCGAAAGGAGGACGAAATTTTATCGCAGATTACGAAGCTCGAAGTCGTTTTTGACGACTATCACAGAAAACTGGTTGAGAGACACAACAAGGTCGTCACGCTGAATCACGATGATTTAGAGACTTTGGTCATCGTACACAAGGTTAGTTAAATGAAACTTATAACTATTTAATTTATCCCTAACAATTGTTAGTAGTATAATTAGTAGCACTTGTACTCTGATTTCGGGACCCAAAATCAAATGTCCTGAAAGTTATAAAATTTGAAAATTTTTTTAAGACCTAATGTAAACTTTGAATTAATGGTCAGTCTATCTATACACGATATGTCTAGTGTTTAATCGTACTTATTTCGGATTATATTTAATGTTATTTACCTATTTCGCCATAAGTATAATTATTAATTTTTTTTAAGTTAGCCAGTTCATTTTTTTTATTGTAGTTATATCTATCTCTGATAAGTGCTTTCCTTGCCTATACCCAAATATATTTCTTGAACTTGTTTGATAAAAAAAAACAGGAATATGAAGAAAATTTGCAAAATTTGGAACCCCAAATCGAGGGACTGAAAATGAAAATAGATTCCCTCTCTAACTTTCAAAAAACTTCCAAGATCATGGGAAGTTTGGACGAATTGCTCAAATTTTGGGATTATTTATGGAACAAATCTCACCTTTACGTTGAAAAGTAAAATAATAATTCTTGTTGAACGCCGCATTTAATATTCTAATTACAAATCGAATAGCAAATATTCGATTCAATTTTTCGACTACTAATAATTGGCTATTCGATTTTGAATAATTCGAATATTCAATTGTAAATTTTAAAAATAATTTCGATCCAATATAAATAAACATTTCGTAATTTTTGGCGCAGATTAAAATGTATCGAAATCATTTCAAATAATGCCGAAGAGGCTTCACACGTGTTGAGCAAAGCCGAAATATCTCTCGCTAATATGGGGGCCATGTTCAACCCGATCTATAGCTCATCGAGTTTTAATATATATTTTTTTTATAAAATGAATTCTAAAGTCGGCATTTGATTTATGATAATGATAACCATAAATTTATATATACCTTAATTCTGACATGCTTTAAAAAATAAACGCATGCTCAGCTACCCACCTCAATTTCTCAAAAGATACTTTAATTTTTTCGACGTCCATTCGTAACGGGTTGAGAGACCTGGAATCCTTGACTAGCTACGTCGACGCGCAACAAGCTGTCATGGATACGCTGGACAACCATCTCAAAACGCTGACTAACGTTTACAAGGAGAATAACGAGATTTTACCTCAAAATGAAACAAAGTACACTTTGGGTAATAAACAGGAAGCGGATCAAGATGTTACAGATATAAATACGGCAGCTTTAGTCGCGATTAAAAAGTGCGTCGATGGAATATTAGGGAGATGGGAGGAGGTCGCATCCCAAATCTTTTTGAGGTAATCAAAATCCTCACATTTAAATGTTTGTTTTTTTTCATATCGGAAATTTCTTTTCATTTTGCCAATGAGATATTATTTTGATTATCTCCCTCGTGTTTAAAACATATGGTTTTTTTGCGCAATTTAAATCACGAAAAGAAAACAAACATTGACTCAAAGTGAGGCTTCCTTAAGCAAATACGGCACTCTAATTGAGAGGGAGATAAAAGTATTGGATAATATTGAATACAGGCTCAACGCGGAACAGGAGTCCAACTCGGATTCACATAAACGTGATCTGGTAATATTTTAAATTTTTTTTTAGAAACAAGAAAATAAACAGATTCCTTAACGGCAGATATGGTTTATATACCAATTTTAATTATACAAAAAAAATTTTTTTACATGCCTTATTACCATTTTATTTAACAAAAGGATATATTAAATCGACTCAATGCGGAAAAACCTTATCTAGAAGATCTCAATGTTGAAGCTTCGCACTTGGCCAAATTGACGGAATCATTCGATCTCGTTACATTAGATTACTTTAGCTTATTGCAGGAAGTTCACCCTAGCATTGAAGCCTCCATCAATTCCGTCTCGCGCAAAAGATATAGAACATTTACTAATATCAATATTGATACCAGTGCCCCTAGCGGTGAATTCTTTGGCTAATTAATATATGAATATTATATAATATTAGTTAATGAGGAATATAAAAGTATCATTTAAACGATACTCTTTTAAGGATAATGATTTAACCAATCCTTAATTTTAGCCAATGTTTTGAATTAGATTTTTTAAAAAATAATCATACAATAAACCAACAATTTGATTAGATGACAATAAAGCGATTTCTTCCAACGGAAATTCTGCCCAGCCATCGCGCAATATTGTGAAGGATAAAGAAAGCGAAAAACGTTTAAATAATTTAGCCGAAGAATTGCTCGACCAAACGGATCAAATTAATAAGTCCTACTTGAAATGCTTGGATATAGTCAAGCAAAAGATACAGGAGAGGAACGATAGACTCAGAGACGAAAATTTGGTATTTACTATATATAGAGCTTAACTTTTCGAAGATCGAGGAGATAAGATTTTTTGAGAACGCTCATGTGTAGTTTTTCGAGATTCCATTTTTATTTTCAAGGATCAAAAAATTATTAATTTTTTTGATTTTCAAAGATTTTTGATATCTAAATGTTAAAATCCATATATTTTTTTAAAATCAAATAAAATACAATGTATTCCAATTGCTTGTAATAAATTTTTTTTTAAATTAAGAATTATTACTTAGAGAAGTGTAATGAAATCGATAAAGCGATCGAGAGTATGAATGCCATTAAATCCTCGTTGGAAAATCAAAATAAATTGAAGAGTTTGGAAGATTTGAAGTTGGAAATTCAAAAAAGCAAGGTATGTTTAGTTGAAGGTTCAATATTCATTTACACCATTTATTAGAATTTAAATTTATTTTAATAAAAATAACTTGTACTGTCTCTTTTGTATGATTATTATATAGATAAATTCAATTAAAATATATTTTTTTTTAGTTTTTCAAGTCTGACGTGATGGAATTAAACAAGAAGATTGCTGACATGGAAGCTAAGATTCAAAAAGATTACAATTTAAAAGAGGGCGATGTAATTATTTTACATCCATATAAAAAATTTATTGGTGTTATATAAAGGCTCATAAAAAATAAAAAAAATTATTGGTGTTATATAAAAGCTCATAAAAAATAACATATCTAAGAAAGAAAGAAAAGATGATATCTTAAAACGTTCTCTAACAAAAACAAAACAATATTTCTAAATTATATTAACAGGACCTTATCAATTCGACCGACACTCCTTCATCATTATTCGAGCTTCAGGCTAAACTAGAATCTCTCAAGACAAGGCTAGGTGATCTACACACTTTTTACGCTAACCAAATGTTGACCGATAATCAAACAGATCTCTACTCACCCAACCTTTCCAATCAAGAAGTACAGGCCTTCGAAACCTGGCTCAATCACATTAACGCGAAGTTAGATAAATCCCCAGATTTTTCTGAAATTGCTGAGCTACGAGCTTATATAATCGATTCGAAACAGTCGATAGCGAACAAAGAAATAGAGCTAGGTCAAAAGGGTCCGCTAGGAGCTGCCATTTTGCAAAGTCAAGATTGGTTAGCCTTAAAAACAAAGGTTGACGATAAGTTATCCGAGCACCAGATCCGCGCCGCCAGGCTCGAGCAATACGAAACGAGGAAGGCTTCAGTTTTGAATTGGATCAAGGATAAAAGGGCGGATGGGATAGAATGTGCCGAACCCACGCGAGCTTTGAAAGAATGCATAAGCCTTTCTGAGTTATGCAGCGATGGGCGATCAGCGGACGCGTTGGATAAGATCGAGAACACCAGATTAAAATCTCTGAAGGCATGCGAAAATTAGATAATCTTATTACTCATTCAAAATTTATTTGCAATTTATTATAAACTTTTGTTAGCTCTAATCATTTTTGGAAAGATAAGATTATAAATAGATTACAGCAACAGCTTTGCGCATATCCATATTAGATCGTGAAATAAACTTTACCTCTAAATTAAACATCATCCATCATTTTTTTTTAAAAAAATATTAACTTATATGCAGAATGGCTATACAGAATTTCATCGGAACTACCAGTTGGAAAATTTTTCAATCTTCTCCGAGGAACTGAAAGAGCTTTATCCCGACCTTAGCTCAACAATCGAAGGGGAAATCAAGTCAATCGAAACCGACCTTCAAAATCTTCAAAAAGGTTTTTGGAACATTTTTTTAACCCTTATTTTTAGAATTGCAAGTCAATTTATTTCCGATTTTTTAAAGAGCAATATTGTAATTATTTTACCAATTTTCACTTTATTATGTTCTTATCTTAGGACACAAATATGTAACGCTATTAATTTTTTTTTAGCTTTTATTTTATGAATTTGTAAAACGCAGTTATAATAATTTTAAAAATAATCACATAATAAACTTTTTTTTTCGCGTTTATATAATGACAAAAAAATTTTTATTAATAATAATCAAAAATATGTAAATTTATTAATTGATTCAAAAAAATATTCATTAATTATATTGATTAAAAAATATTAATATAAAAAATTATTTTATATTTTGCAAAATAAAATTATAACTATCTCCTAATACTTTGTCCCATAATGACAAACTAACTGTATTTTCAACAAAAAAATCTGAGACTGAAGCAGTTTTTGTACAAAGCCAGGTTTAATTCTTTAATTTAGCCGGCTAAAAATAGAACAGATTCCCGTGACTGAATATACTTTAGTTTTTTAAAATTATTTATAATATAAATAATCCTTTTATTAAATTAATCAATTTGAAAGGCTACAGCGACAAAATAAATGCTCTGGAAACGCTAATAAATGACATGAACGAATACGAAATTTTGGCTAAAGATTCCGAAAATGTGGTGACGAAATGCGAAACTAAACTCGATTGCATCATGTCAAATATAGAGAGTAACGACGGTGAAACCAACAATACGGAGGATTTAACCCCAGAATTTAAGGTTTGTTATTTAAAAACTATTTGTGAATTGAGATAGAATATAAATTTCGACTAAAATATGAGTGCCTCCTTCGAAAAAATATTATGTACTTTACTTCTTTTTTTAGATTTTACTCCTAACTTTTTAATTGACTTCTGTAACAAGTTACTTTATTAAGGGTTTACGTGTTTAACGAAATTTGGGTTATTTCGTCAATAAATTGAAATCCAAATCAGCTCTAATACTATATACTATAATATAGATTGTTTACTACACGGGATTTACTTTATTATTTTTTTTATTTGACAAATTTTTATATCTGAAATCAAATAAGCTTTTATTAACAATATTTTTATACATAGAAAATTGAAAAAGAACTTGATATCGGCAATAGACAAATTCTAAAGGCTGAAAAAATCTGTGATGATATGGCTGACAAATGCCTCAGATGCTTCTTACACGATAAATATGATCCAACTATGAAAGACGAGGCAAAAATAGTTTCTGCAAATTTTAAAGGGTTATTGAAAGATACCAAGCTAAAATACGATATATCTAGCAAAAATTTAGTATCCGGAATGAGCCTGATAGCGGATATGGACAAAATTTCTAACAAAATTAGAGTTAGTTTAAATTTAATAGGATTCCTATTTAATCGCTCAGAATTTAGCCTAAAATGCTTAAAATCATTAAACGTTCAGAATAAATATTTAACGTTCAGATAAAAAAAAACTAAATTGCTCAGATATAAAACTAAAACGCTGAGATTAAAAATAATATGAAATGCTCAGAACTAGTCAAAATTATGTACTATTGATTTAAAGAATTTATATTATAATTATATATTTTCTAAAAATAATTATTGGTCCGACGATTCCCCATAAACAGAAATTGCTGGTTACTGGGGCTTATATTTAAAACTTTATAAATGGTTATATCTTTTTATTAAATTTACGCATAGAAATCTATTCTTTTTTACAAAATATAGCAACATACTAAACAAATATCCAAGGAATTATCTCAGGTTGAGGAAGATATATTATCTCCTAGCGAAACCATAATGTCTCCAACGAAACTTAGGGAAATTGACGAAAAAATTTCCCAACTAAAGGTTTATATAACCCACACTTAATTCATGAATTGAGCACTACTTTTAAACCAGAGTTTGGAAAAAAATTTAAATAAATTTGATTTATCTTTTCATATTTTTAAAAAATCAAATATTTTTCTTTAGTGATTTAATTTTTATCCAGTTGTTCGTTTTAAATCTTCATATATATGTTGTATTCCATATTAAATCAACCAAAAAAAGTCGATTCTCAACCCGGCCCCCTTCAATTTTTTTAAAAATTTGTATGTTGGTAGTATATACTCTAACTAATAAAAATGTAAAATTTTACTTTTCAAATCAGCTTACTTCATGAGATATGGCCATCTTTAGAAACGCGAAAATTCCAAAATACAGAAATAGAAAACCGGAAATAGCTATAAAATAAAAATTGCTCTTTTTTTTTCTTTCAAATTTTTTTTACAAATAGACATTATACTTCTTAATATTCGTACAAAATTTTAGATTGGGACCATTACTGGGCCAATAGTTATTACGCTTTAAATATAAATAGTATGGCTTAAATCCTAAATTATACCAAATATATAGTAATTTACGAAACAAATAAAAAGAAAATTCCTTTATGATCGGGCAGATTATATTTTTTTTATAAATGTTCCGGGCTGTGAGCCCACTAGTAGACATTATGTCATATTTAACATATAAGTTTAGCGATTTTATTTTAGAGAGTAAATAATTGTAAAAATATTTATAACTTTATTTAGCTAATTATTTATATTACATGAATATCAAATGGAAAATTAATATTGTTATAAACATATTAAATTAAATAATATCATACATTAAATTATCTAATGAATTAGAATAACGTTTGACTTTCATTTTTTCCATTAACTTTCATTGATATAAAATTATTCATAACCTGGCATAAGTCTGCTGTTTTCGTCAGAATTATAAAATTCTATTACTTTATTTGCAATGTCATCCGGAATTATTCTACTTGGTTTTATGATATTTGGGTTTGACAAAACACCCTTTTCTTCAACTAATTGTTTAGCTGTCCGGGCCATAAAATTTGTGGTTGAAAATTCCTTTTTTATCAAGAGTCCAAGATTTTGGTAAAACTGTTAAAATTTGTATTTTTTCATTGCGAGAACTTGTAGCAAATTTTTCTTTCAGTTGATTTATGATTTCGGTTTTATCTTTTTTTGCTTAATCCCTCCAGATTTATTTTAAAAACTTTTTTAATTTTTCCCTGAATTTTCAAAAATTTATTTACAGGATATTTTTTTTCATTTAACCTTTTCTTTTTAATAGGTGTCTCCCCTAAAAATGGCAAAGTTTCATTTAAAGTTGAAATTGAAGTATTAAAATCTGTATAAGAGTCGGGATTATTGCATGGTTGATCAGGTTCAGAATCGCTAAATGTTTCATTAATAGTTGAGGTAGAAGGTAAGTTAGAAATAGAAGGTAATGTGATCGGGATCGTAGAAGTAAAAGGTCAGATCAGATTTGTTGAATAATTTTTTTTCCGGCAAGAGCTACAAATTTTTTGATTAATTGATAAGCTAGAATTCACTTCTATCATCCATTGTAAAACATTTCTAAGATCGTAACGTACTGAATGAGATTTTATTCTAAAGGGATTACAGCACTTTACTGGAATAGAAATATCTTTTCTAGACATTTAAATTTTTTTGGTAAGGAATAAAATATAGATATTAATTTTATATAATTATTTTAAATTAAAAATGAATACCGATAATTTAATTTTCTTAGAAAAATGGCTTTATAAAATTAATCAATATAAATGACGGCTGTTGCTTTTGGAATTGAATTTGATTTTTATGATAATTATTTTATTTGATAATTAATTATAAGTAGAAAATAATCTTTATGAAAATATATTTCTGACGATCACAAAGATAATTTTTTATCCGGCAAAGAAAATAATCTACATAATTCACTCATAGAATTGCCAGGTCAAAAATCTCGAATTTAAGAAAAAAAAATTTTTTTTGGGGGGGGGGGGGGATATAAATCTTAAGATGGGGTTCGGATTTCAGTTTTAATACTATTATTCACAAATATTATCACTTTTGTTAAAAAAATAATTACTCATTTCGTATAATATAGAATTTAAGCCATACTATTTATATTTAAAGCGTAATAACTATTGGCTCAGTAATGGTCCCAATCTAGGATTTTGTACAAATATTAAGATATATAATTTCTATTTGTTAAAAAATTTTGAAAGAAAAAAAAGGGCAATTTTTATTTTATAACCATTTCCGGTTTTCTATTTCCGGTTTTTGGTAATAAAAATATTTTTAATATAATAAATTTTATATCATATTAAAGGGCTATTCTAGAGTTATTTAATAAAGTTTAAATTATACCTTTATCTTAATTACTTTTTGAGATATTTAAAATTAAATATGGTGTATTTTGAACTTTTCGCGTTTCTAAAGATGGCCATATCTCATCAAGTAAGCTGAGTTGAGAATTAAAATTTTATATTATTGCTAGTTAGTGTATATACTACCATCATGCAAATTTTAAAAAATCGAAGAGGGTCGGGTTGAATCTTCAGTTGATTTGATATGGAATACAACATATATATAACAACATATATATATGCGCATTTTTATAATCCTTATATATGCGCATTTTTATAATCCTTAATTTTTTCTTTTATATGACCTTTGTTTTGAATTCGTTCTTTATTAATAAATGTTCTATTGGGAGATTTTAAAAAAATTTGCTCAAAAAAAAATATGATTTTTTTTTCAAGCTTTAAAACTAGTTTTTGTTTAAATATTCGTTTAAATTAATTGATAGACATGGCTAATTTTTTTGATTATATAATATTATAAAATTACTAGTTTTGTTTTGAACGCAAATATAAATTTCTAAACTCATTTATTACAATTTGATTAATATTTATTTCTTTAATGGCAGATATACAAATCAAAACTTTCTAACATTAGTGCATTTATCGAAGACCTCGAATCCTTCGTCAAAAAGTCTCCCCTTTCATCGAACACTATGCACGAAAAAGTGAAAAAAATAAAATATTTATAATATCCTAATTTTGAAAAGTTTGTTTAAATTTTTGGGACAAAAAATTACCAAAAATAAATATCAATTCCTTTACTTTAAACAAAAACAAGAATATATCTGATCTGAGAAACCATCGAGACAAATGCTTCGCCTTAGCGGATAATCGTCTTAGTCGGGCTCAGATATGTGCACGGGTTTTTGAAGATTTTAACGACCAATTTCAACGTTTAGAAATCGATCTTGAAGACATAATTAACGATAAAAATGGAACTCTATCTGAGATTAACGAGACTTTGTTGAAAAGGAGAAGCTGCCAAAACGACCAATTACCTCTGATAATCAAACAATACCAGGTACTAATAATACTTTTACATGATTTATTATTACTAATAAACAACAAATATATTTATAACCATATTAATTGTGCAATAGGGAATAAGATTTTTTTTAGAATTATTTGAATTTAAAAATGTATTAGGATTACAAATCTCAAACCATCCTACCTTTGCAATCCCATGTGACAGAATTCTTATCTAATTACCGAGACATTAAGAATCTCTCACAATTTCTTGATTCGATACCTCCTAAGGATTTGGAAATTTTGACGCCCCACGTCGATGCTTCTCTCACATCGTTGATTTGTGAAAAATTGAAACACGACTTAAACGTGTTAAAAGATAAAAATCATTCACTGGCGGATAAAATAATGTACACTGACGAGCATATTCAAGATGCACTCAAAAACGATGGTAAGATGTCGCAGATCTTGAATAAATGTAGAGCTGGTTTACAAAAATTGAAGGATAGACTGGAATCCGATACTGGATTCAGGGAAGCAAATCTTGATAAGAAAGAGAGGATAGAGTTTGGAGGTCTACCCACTTGGGACGATTGCACGGGTATGTGAGCACTATGCTTTGGCGCTTTTTTTAATATTTCTATATAGAAGCTTTAGAGATTTTAGCAAAAAATTGAATTATTCTTAAACTAGAGCCATACTGCCCAATATGAATGAATATTCTAGTTACGCCAGTATAAAAAAATTACAATTTAACACTGCGTTACTATTTATAACATTACATGTAACTTGTTAACTTTTTGTAAAATTTTCTAGTTCTATATTTAAAATATTTATTTTATTATTATCTTGAATAGAAGTGTTAAATTTATAAATTTGCTTAAAGTTCAAAATAATTCTTTTTTTGTAATTCTCTTTCCCACCAGTCATATTAAAAATCAAAATTTTGTGAAATTTGGGTAATTAAGAAACATCATTTTTATTTTAGATAAAGTTTATAAAAAAAATTTTTTGATAAATTAAATTACCCAAACAGTTTTAATCTAACTTTATTGAATACTAATAGATTTTGTTTATTTATTGAAAATCGTATTGACAAAAAGGTAACTGCTAGATTTGAGAACCTGTTACTATTTGGATAAGATAACTTTTTAATATACATAAGTAACCTTAACAACACTAGTTATTTAATAGTTTTTAAAAAATTTAGATTCTAAACTTGATAACAAAGACGTCCGGCTTAAATACAGCAACTTGTTAAGATGTTTGAATGATGAGATGAAGAATGATCTAAAAGACATTCAAGACATTGATCAGAACTTAGATCACCTTATGCTTGAATCTGCGGATGTCAAAGTAATATGATACATTTGATTTAAATAGCATATTTATTTGTTATCTTGAATATTGGCATTTTACTCACATAGATTGAGGCTATAATATTATACTACGCACAATTTAAGAACCTTAATCCAGATTAAGGGTTGGTATGTTCTTTTAAATTCCCTTCCTCTACCTTTCGCGATTATAATTATCTCTAAAATGTAGATCCTATATAATATTTTCATTCAACTTGCCCAATCCAACATAACCTATTTCTCCTTTATCGCTACATCTGTCGCCACTACTCCACTCCTTTTTCCTTAACTCTAAACTGGTCCGCTTCCCGTTAGATGAACATCGCTTATTTGATCTCTGTAAGTCGGCCTTCTGACGGGGTTACATTTTTTAAAAAAAATCAGGTTGAGCTCGGGCTTAAAAAATTCAAAATTTTGGGCTAAAAATTTATTTGCATTCGCACTATCACCCTTCTGTTTACAAGGTTTAAACTGAGATGCGAGGATTAAATAATATTTTAATATATATCCTGTTGGAATCACTCTCGTAATTCCATAAACCTCCTTAACTTTTCTAAAATTCCGCCATCCTCGTTACACTACCAAATTCATGGATGGACAATTTCTTTTTATATTAAACCGCATGGCCCTTAAAGTTTCTCGTCTTGAGGCCATCGTGGCCTCCCCATCCCCTCAAATGACCAAAACTAGTCTATTCAGCCATTCGATACCTGCTTATTCTTATACACTCGTCGCCCTAACGATTTCTCCCAAAACAATAAATAACTTGCTATTACTATTTAGAGCAACACATATAATTTACACCAATGCCACTAAATAATTCTTACATCATTCTCATTCGGCTCAACACCATTTTAATTATTTAATTAGGAACTCAAAGAATCGGCACATATAAATAACATGGCAGTTTTAAAGTTACGTGAATTTAAAGAGGAATGCTTACTATTCAAGGAGAAATTAAAATTCGCCGCTTCCATTTACCAGAAAGCACTTAAATTTTGTAACGCCTCAAACCAAGATTTCGAAAAACTAAACACTTGGTTCGATAAAACGGAAATCGCTTTGATAACCGTCGGGAACTTCAAACCCAATTATATCAAAGTAATAATTTTTAAAAATGCATTTTTAAAAAAATTTTTTTATAATTTATATCTGTATTTATTCTATAATTAAAATAAAGATGATGATAATATTAATATATAGGGTTTGCCATAGTTTTCGCACAGAAACTCTTAAAAAATTCATATGTAAAATATTAATTGTTTAGCCATAAAAAGAAAAATTTTTGAAAATAAAATTAATTAAACTTTATAAGAATAATATGTGATTAATTAAACAAACTATTTTTTTTTAAATTTTAAGCATTGTGACATATCGTCATCACAGCGCAAGGTCTCGTAAGTAGCATTTTTTTCAATATACGTTTTTTTTTGAATACATGGTTTAACTATAAGCCAGCTATCATCTCTCAAAAAATCGTGTATCAATAATCAATAAAAACTAGTTTTTTTATCAAATAACATAAAAAAGTAACAAAAAAGGTGATCAAATTCCTCTTAACGTAACTGATATTTTATTCAAAAAATTGTAAATCAGATTTACTTTATCAAAACAAATTTTTAACCTTATCAAAACCTCGTAACTGTTCAACAAAAACTCATAAGTATCATAGGGGTCGCATATGTGAATATTTTTTTTAAAAAGAGATTCGAATGAAGAAGTATTTAATTAAAGAAATTTTAAAATAAACGTTCGTTTTTAAGAAGAATTTGTTCGGAAGAACATTAAAAACAGGAGTAAAGACATTTTTTAATTATTTTTTTATATGATGTTCAAATTAAATGATATAAAAAATAAAAAATATGTTGTTTACATATTTTTTGCACTTATAATAAGAGTTTCTGTACAAAAACAATGGTAACCCTGTTATATATATTCTGAAGAAATTTTTCTGCAAAGAAGCATTTAAAACAGTTTTATTAAATTTATCATATAATACTTATATATACAAGGAATTGATGGAAGAACGACAGAATACCATCGTTACTACCGTTATGCCCACCTTTCTGGAATCCAATTATTCCCTGTTACCCCTTCTTGGCGATACCGATTCCCCTTGCGACAAGAACCTTAGAAGTTCGTGCTCCCATTTCAGGGAACACTGTGAAACTTTGGGCAACGAACTCGAGCAGAAGCACGACAAAGCTCTGCAAGGGCACGATAACATGGCCAAATTAGAAGAGATTAGTCGATCTTTGAATCACTGGCTGAGAACATCGGTGGAGCCCAAACTTGAGTTATACGGCTATCAACTGAGTCCCTTGTTAGAACCTCTGAAGAGTCAGTATAATAAATTAAAGGTTTTCACAATCTTTTTGCTTCACCATTTTCTTTTTTTGGATTAATCAATATCATAATTTAAATATACATTTTTTTAATAGTCTCTCAAAGCGCTTTTCATCGAAAAACGAGTCAGCTTGAACGAAATGAATACGATTTCAAAAAACTTAGATAGATCAGTCATCGATAAAACAAGTACACACCATTTGACTTTTTTATATTTATTATAACATAGTAAATTAATTATTAATTAATAAATGTCAGAGTTGCTCCAATGCCACTTTTATCCTATGTTTTTTCTCCTAAATTTGTGTAGGTAAATTCTAAATTTTTGTAAAGTATGGACCGATACCCTGAGACTTGCCAGTGCGTTTCCATTTATAATAAGGCATTCAGTGATTTAGAACATTCATTCATTGACCACCTGGCCAATCACAAATTATTCTTAATATATTATATATGTACGTTACATGAATAAATTTATAGTAATGTTGGAACATCACGGTGAGTGGGCGAAAATTGGAGATAAATTCGAGCGACTCAATCAGACTTGCATTCATTTGTTGGATAAAGTTGAGACCGAAAATTTACCGGCAGCTAAAAATTTTCAAGATAACAGGGAAGAACTAAACCGATATTTGACTGTATTGGAGAAGGAACTGGAATCGGGGGAACTGGCAGCACTTAGCATCAATAGCCAATTGGAAAAGTTGTTGGTAAGAAAAATTAAAAATATGCACCCTTTTTGGTTTTATAAATTAACTGGCGGACAAAGTTTCGATAATTGTATACACCTTGATAACATATATCTTATTCAATTTTCCATGATATCCTATCTCTTCCCTCAATTTTTATTTAGCAACATGAAATTGAATGTCAAGAAAAAGTATCCCTCGCCGACGATCTTCGCTCCTACCTAGAAGAGCACACTAATAATCAACCCATTTCAGACGACTCCAAATCGCGTCTAAATGATCCGACAGACTTAAATTCCTCTCCAAATCCTGGCGATTCTCTTCAAACCCCGGTGCCTTATCTCTGTGAAATGACTCAATTATTGAAAACGCTCGTAGATCAGGACCTTTCCCGGTTCCGTTCAGCCAAATCGAATCTCGAAACCCGCCGAGAAAAACTTTCGTTGATCACTCGCCAACTTAAGGCGCTCTCCGTCAATGTCGAAGAAACCAGGTTTTTTTATTTAAAAAAGGATAAAGTAGATTTTGATTTCATCGTGAAAATTTTTTTATGGATAAAATTCTCAACAGATTTACTTTATAAAAGATTTTTTTACAAAAATAAATTGAGGAATGATTTGGATATAGACAGATAATAAAATTATTAGATTACTCATGCAATTCTTTTTTTAAAATTGTTTAGGGTTTGGATGCGGGACGCGGCCGCGTATTTGTCCTTAGTTGACCCTGAGGAGATCAATAATAGCAACGAGTCCTCAAAAAGTGGGAGATCGAGTGTGATTAGTGATCAAAAAGTAATATTATATAAATTTCTTTTTTTAAACATTTAAAAATGCTGGTAAGCTGCATCATAAACTCAAAGTCATTCGTTACTTTTTTAAAAAAAATTTAAAAAGGGGTAATGGTAAGGCGTTTCCTTTTTAAAAGTAACGTAACTCGTTTACAATTTTAGAGGAATTTTTACATCTTTTATATAAACCTAATATTAGTGTTGTTAATCTGCTAAGCCCGACTCTGACTCAAAGTTTGGGTCGTTTTTTCGATCCCGATCCTAGGCCAAGCCGAAAAAAACGATCTCGACCCAAAATATGGGTCGTTTTTTTTTACTTCGACTCAAAATCTGGGTCGTTTTTTTCGACCAGACCCAAAATATGAGTCGTTTTTTAAAAAACGACCTAAGGTTTAGGTTGCTTTTTTTCACCTGACACATTATCTAAGTCATTTTTTTCGACCAAAAGCCGACTAGGGTTGACTCCAATAAATATATAAATATAATAATAACATTTCGATATTAATATTATGGGGTGGGAAAATTACTTATAGCTTCTTTTAATTATAATGCTCTAACTCACTATATAATCTTATTAATTGAGTGTCAATTGTCATCGTTATTTTTTAAATTTTTTTTTAACGCAAATTAGTAAAAATATAAATTGTGAATATGTTATATTAAAATTTTAGCCAAGATATAACATAGAAAAGTGATTATTATCATAATCGTTATTTTTAAACTTTTTTATATTTTTTCTGACTAATTTACATTCCATTTTTCAGTGGACATAAAATTTTATTACATCATAATTTTATATTTGATAAAATAAGGTTGAAACGCATCGGACAGCCTTGTACATGTTAGATCCGGACGCCCTTCTAACGCGTCTCGAGAATTTGAAACTACTCGAAAGCGATATACAAGGACAAAATGTAAATTGCACATATGATAGATTTAATACATAAATATCGACAAATTTTTTTTTAATTTTAGTATTTCTATGAAACAAACTTAATCTTTGAGATTAACCCAGTATTAACATTAATGTTGCTGGGAATGGGGAGGGGGTGTCTCTAGTCTCGTCAAAACTTTGGTGAACCACTCAAAAAAAGTTCTAAATTATGATGAGTTCTCTCGAAATTTTTTAAAATTTAAAATAAAGTTTCAAAGGTCTATCGACTCCATTGCCATTTTTAACATTTAATACAAATTCTTCAATATATTTTTTATAAATTATTTTTTAACCTTTTAAATTGTTTACCTTTCCTAAAACCATTCTAGAACGTTCTATCGTTTGTTAGTCATTATTTTTTTTAAATTAAAGCTATAAATATATTGATATACGTTATACAGGTTAAAATATAATATATCTTATACTCTGAAATGAAATTATTCGAAATTAATATAACTATAAGCAGTTGATAAAAAATTTTAATGTGAAAACGCTTAAAATATCGAAATTTTTGGAAACGATGTTTAACAACGCTCGATTAATGGTTTGCTATCTTCTAACATGCGCTAAGGAGAACGTTCTGATATGGCCAGCATAATACTACCTGTTAGAAAGAAGCTCTCGTTATCGTAGAGACTTTATGTTGAGAATTATTAAATTCGTTTATGTATGCCATGATAACATTATTTATTTGAAGTGGAACATATTATAAGGGACAATTATGGTAGACAAACAGGTCTCAACTACGTATAATGAATAATTTAATATCTTATATAAATTAGATGTTATTAAAATTGATTATTTTTATGTAAATAGAAAAATTTGTAAGCAAATATATGTTGGAATAATTAGAACATAAGGGTAATAATATTACTTAATCATATCCATGCTAACGTTTAACAAATAATATATATTAAAGTGTGGTGTAAGAAATATACTCCCCCCTGATAATTTAATTTTTAAAAACTTTCACGATAAGTATATATTTTTTTAAATTAAGGCCAGAATAAAGAATTTGAATGTCGAAATAAATCGAACCGTACGGGAAGCTTACCCATTTATTTCGAAACAGATGTCTTCATTCGCATCTTCTTCCAATAATTCGCTCAAAAAGCCTGACCGCCAAAATGAATCTAAAGAGATGGAAGGGGAGAATGATTCAGAACTAGCGATAGAAAAAAAAGCTAGGTTTACAATATAATCAAAATTATTTTTTATTACTGAAAAAGGAAAATAGATTACTAATTTTTAAAAAATATGAAGGGAAGGGAGGAAGGAAGAAGGAAATAATTTTTTTTTAAAACGACCCGAATAAGATTCTCCTGGAGTTTCTCATACTTGGCAGAAAGGTTTTGATATCTATTTGCCATTACATAATATTATTCTTGGCAATCTTACTCGAGTCTTTTTTTCAGGCTTTTTTAACAACACTTCACAAAACAAATTACATTTTATTTACTATTCCAAAACACTTAAATAAATATGGATTTTTAAACATTAAAAAAAATTATTCCCATTGCCAAAATATTTATATTTGTAGCAACAATTTGATCGACGAGATTACCGCTAACTACGACAGACTAAAACGTTTATCGAATAAGGTGAGTAGGAAATGCGGACAAAAGATAAGCTTATTTCGTCGGCTCCTGCCTTCTCTTCAAAACTTTGTAGCCGATTATGATTCATTCGTGACTTGGCTAGATGAAGCCGAAAATGAGTGCGAGTCCCTATTACAAGAAGATGGAGATACTACGATAAAGGACTTCGAGGAGATAAAGGTTTTGATTGAAGATAAAAAATTTTAAACCTTGAAGAGGTTGATTAGTTTGTCCTTGCAGGTAAATGACTACTAAAAATCATTAAAATACACAAATAATAGTCACGTGATAGTTAAATAAATGGAAATTAGTAGGGGGTGTATCGATATTTTATATCGGATCGAGCCGATATTTTACCTTTTTAATATTGGCGGATATTGTAAAACTTTCCGATCCGATCCGATAAAATGGCGTCCTAATTTTTAAAAAATTTATCTCAAATTTTATAATACATTTTTGTTTATTATTTATTAGGTAAAAATATTTTATATACATACTTTTAGATTCATGAATAAAACAATAACTGATCATTATAATATATTTTAATGACTTATGCTATGGTATAGTTATATTCTAGATGTTATACCATTAAATGTAGTGATGCAAAATTGCTAATTTGATCCGATTTTTAAAAACGGCTAACTCATATATTAACCAGAAAAATAATGCATAAGCCTCGAGATTTCGCCTAGTGCAAAACTTTGTGCCATCTATGAGCAAAATCTTCAGGCTTGTGTAATATTTTTCGGGATAAAATACTGTGTTAACCATCTTTAAAAATGGACTATGACGATTTTGCAAAACTAGATATATGAGTATAATACAAAATAAGATATGATATCAGATCGGCCTCCAAAAGTGGTATCGTTACACCCCTAGGAATAAAGATACATAACAATTTATTAAATTTGAAGTTTTTATAGGTAAAATTTTTTTTATAGTTTGTACACAATACTTTTTATAATCTAATTCTGTTAAATTACAAAACACTTTTATTCGCACATATTTAAACTCTACTTCTGTTTCTTTTAAAATCGATTCCCGTGTTCTTATCGTTTCTCCAGAAATTGATCAAGACCGCCGACGATAACGAGTCCCGTTTAGATAAAATTACCCAAAATTCCGACCAAATTATATCCGTTTCCAAATCTATTTTCCTTTCCGCCGCTCCTCTCCTCGATTACTCTTCCGATTCTGATTCAGAAATAGATAATAAAACGGCTGATATTAAAAATTTAGAAATGGAACCCAACCCAGTTCAACAACACCTGACAGAACTTATGACCGACTTAAAACGGCGTTACCTAGCTGTTAAGGACCATTTAGGTGCCTTGAATCTTTCGCCCAACAACGAGAGAAGCGTTTTCGCTTCCCAGTTAAATCAATCCTTTCCCGATTTCACACTACCGGATAGTGGTGCCTTCGAGAATCCGAACGCCATGTCAGTTAGCCAGCGTGAATACAATGAAGCTGATTTAAATGGGGATATAGCTCTCACCTCCAGAAAATTAGAAGCTTTTTTGATGGGGATAGCCGAGACTGCCGATAGATTAGCTAGAGCCGAACCCATTTCTTGCTTCCCTGATAAAATCAAAGGCCAAATATTGGATAACTCAAGATTGGCAGAAGGTAACTAATAAATGACTATAACATTCATTTATTTAATTTTGAATAAATACAAGATTATGCTACAATATTTTATTTTATTATATAAACCTGGATAGTGTTAGGTCAAAGAGTCGCTTTATATTCTAGTGTTAAAGAAAGGGCTGAACAATTTTTAACGCAAGACTCTTCCTTGAATGCGGGTGATACGCCAGAAATGCAAGATAAGAGAAATGGTTTTAATTTATTTAAAAAAAAATTATATATCAATATATACATAACTTATATATAATGTGTCGAGATTAAGGTTATCGCTAATTTATTGTAACAAAATATAAATTCGGTTAAATACTTTTTATACTCATAAACCGATTTTCCCCGGATTTTGAATAAATCTTTATCTCATATAACACTTGATTCAAATTTACAATAGAAATCGAAGAAAAACTGGACAAACTAAATCAATTATGGAATGCTGTAATGACTACGATGGAAACGAGAGGGAAAGCGCTGGAAGACACCCTCGAACTTTCCAACAAATTTTGGGAGGAATTATTCGCTCTTTTTGCAGCGCTGAAAGAAATCCAAGAAAATTTGAAGTTTTTAGAAATTCCGGCCACTATTCCCGAAACTCTGCAAGAACAACAGGACGAGATTCAGGTAAGATTTCCAATATAGTAACTTTGGTATTTAGTTAACCTTGTGGAAGCTATCTACAAATTTCAATGAGGGCCAACCCCCATAATTTAACAGGATTTTAAGCGCTATTTTTTAAACCCATAGAATTTTTTGGAGGATAAATATATTATATTTATTTATTTAAATATAAATATAATTTTAATCTTCGAGAACTGCTATATCATTTTTTTAAACAGGCCTTGAAGGACGAGCTCGAATGCGTGGTTGGCCCGGAGATTGAACAATGTAAGCGGACGGGTTCAGACCTAATGGAACTGATCGATCAGGATTGCCCAGACCGGCCCGAGCTCTCGCGTTCGGTCCACGAACTAGATTCAGCGTTTTCTACCACGGTGCGAAGCTTGGTGGATCGGGAAAGAAATTTGGGAAAAGCCATGAGCCGGTGTTTTGCGTTTTACGATGCCTTAAACGAATTCGCGGGCTTTTTGGACCAGGCTGAAGCTGGTAACGTTTTGTTTTGGTTTTTTGTTACACTAACCCACAATACTTGCAGATTATAATAATGTGTGATGGGGAAGAGTGGCTTGTTTTACTTGAATTATTTTTTAAGCTATGTTATCTAAGGATCAATAAATTATATTAGTTAAAAAATATCTAACTTTTTATCTCGATAGTGTATAATTTTCATTTCAACGCTGTAAAGTATCATTTTAAGATTTTTTACCTCAAAATAAGTTTTGTATGATATAATTATCAATTCTTTTTTTTGAAATCCTATTAGATTTGCAAATAATCGTAGATACAAAGCCAAACTCTCCTTCAGCTGAAGACTCTATAAACGATACAAATTTATCGAGCAAATCAGAACTAGAAGCCCTTCGACAGGCCGACCACGCCCTCAAGGTGCTCAAATCTCAGATAGATCCAAAGGCCTTAGATTTTCAACGATTAAACACCCTGGGTCGAGATATGATTGCAACTCCATCTTACGATAATAATCAATATAATGAAACGGATCACTCTCCCGAAGACGATAATAAGATCGCTCAACTATTGAATAAAGTCAACAATAGATGGGAAATGTTGTGTCAGAATGTCTCCGATCGACAGATTGCTCTAGAGAATTCTTTGGTAGAGTTGGGTCACTTAACTGGAGCTGTGACTGAAATGAATACGTGGTTGGAACACGCCGAGACCGCTATACGAGATTTCCCGGAAATGCTAGAGAGTTTGGATGTTAAGGCATTGGAAATATTGATGGCCAAGTTAAAGAAAATTTTCTATATAAATATTTTCTCTTTATAATCAACAACATTGATTTCGGTTATTTGTATTGCTTTGAGAATAAAGAAGGAAGGAAAGAAACTCTAAATATCCTATATTAAATATATTTAAAAAAAATTTAGTATCGTTGTATCTAATAGGTGATTAGTAATTAAATATTTTCTCACTAAAGTTTTTTTATACTACCTTAAAACAAGGCATAAAGTTCTCCGAACTGATACTGCTCATAAGCGTCAAACTTTAGATTCCTTGAACTCGGCTCTAGCCCTAGCTCAGTCCTCCCGTTTGGCTGCTTCCTTTCCCTCCCTTTCGCTCACTTCACTTAATTCCCCCTCCACCTTACTAAATTCCTCCATTCAAAGCAACAATCATTACATGATGAATCAAGAGATATCGCGTTTGAACGAAAGATGGAGACTTTGTCGAGACGAGTTAGAAAGTCAAAACTCCGCGTTAGAAGGCGCTTTAAGAGATAGGCAGGGCCTATTGGCTGAAGTTAGAGATTGTCTGGACTGGCTTGAGAGACTGGATTCTAGGTATTGCATGGACAATTACTAAATTTTAAATCTCTTAATTTTTATTTTGAAATAATTGGGCATTCTCTAAGACATAGTTTATCTGTTAGAATATTATAAAGATATTAATATTATAAATTTCAAAATATTTTAGATACCTATGTCCCACCAGTAGTTCTAATTCTTCCAACCTTAATAACCACGATCTTACCACTATTTATTACGGGCTAGATGGCGGACCTAATAATAGACTAACCTTCGGTGCGAATGAAAGTGGTATGGAATGCAACAATGTAATGCGTGATGTTAGAGACATGTGCGGAGCGGGCCCTCTAGGAGGTCTACCCCAAACCGTGGGTGAACAGATCGATGCTTTCAAAGGAAGGGTGATAAAAGAACTCGAGAGCGGGGAATCTCATTATAGGTAATTTATTTGCCAATTTTTCTCATATTTTAAATTTTAAAAGATCATACTTGGTCGCCTGCGTAAACGGAGGATCGGGTGGCCCATAACTGCCCCAAAGTTTGGGGCTGAATTTTTTTTTCTCATGCATTTAAAAGTGAATTGTAATTTATAAATAATACTTAAATATTACTTAATTCAGTCGTTTATTGCAGATTATTTATAATATAGTGCATAAATATTATCTAATTCATATTCTATGCTCCTTATTCACGATTCCCATCTCAATTAGATTTTGTAAAGTCTAGGTAAATTTGAATAATTATGAATAACCAAATTTTTTAGAAAATATTTATTTTTGATAAACCTTTTTACACCATAGATCTCTCTTATCTCGCGGTGAAACCGTTTTGAAACAAAAAGAAAAATGTAGCATAGTAGCAGAAAACACGGAGGCTTTCTCTAATGGGGCGTCTCTGGAAAAATATTTGGATGCCTTGAAAACCAAGTGGGATGCCGTACAGGTCCGCGTTCGAGATAGAAAGGTTTTATTATCTATTTATATGACAATATCTATTGAGTTCATTTTTTAAGTGAAAGAAAGATTGTCATTTTGCAATCATATTCTTATAAAAGCATTTTACTATTAAGATTTTTTTTAATTAATAATTAAATAAATATATATTTTAAAAAAGACCAAATTGGAGGTAGCTCTTAAACAGGCCCAAGAATTTGAAGATTATTTGAAAGAATGCCACAGTAATATGGCAACTTTGGAATCCCTCTTAGACCGTTATAGGGAAGATGGTATTCCTAAAACTCTGGATCGAATTTCAGTCACTTCGACCGAATTCAATGAAAAGTAAATAAAACATTGAATTTTTAAATTTAATTTTGTATGTCTACAATTAATCGCGAATATTTCGGTTATATTGAAAACTCAGTAGCGAATATTTTAGGATGTATTCAAAATTAATATGCCTCTCTTATTAAGACGTCACTCAATAATGCACAAATATTATAATTTATGTTATCATTTTAGTAATTCAGAATAGATTGACAGCTAAACCGTAACATTTTTTTAAAAACATTGTAAATATAAACCTTTTCGCCCTTTCGACATTTTTCCAGTTACCTCAAACCCGCCGAAACCTACAAAACGCAAGATATGATAAAGCTCGACAAACTCGGTACTCGCCTCATGTATTTTTGCCTCAAACAAGATTGCGTGGTCATCAAGAATTGTCTAATCAATGCTAGACATCGTTGGGATAAAGTCCATTCTTCCGGCATCGAACTTAAACGAAAATTGGAGAGGGGAAAGAAAGACGCGACCGATTTTTATTCTTGTCACGGGAAGGTTACCATTTTTAATATTTTTTTAATTATATAAAATGAAAATTCCCATTTTGGTCATACATAGGAAATCCTCACTATTAATAGCACTTAATATATTTTAAACTCAATTTATAAAATGATTCACGTTTCAGGTCGAAGAAGGATTGAAGGGATTGGAAGGTAGGATAAATGGTATATTTTCTGGTAATTCGCTTGACGTGGAACAAAAGAATGAGGAGAACGAGGCTACGACTCACTACGACAAAACCAAGACTATGTTGGGGCAGTTGAAAGTAGAATTACATATTTTTTTCTTTAATAATGAAATTTCGAACATCGAATCACCTTTTGTAATTAATTACCCATTAACATAGGCTATCACAAAACTTACCGTTGATTTGCATTATTTATTCTTTAATATATATTTTTTTCTACATTTACCTTTTTAAGGTTCTCAGAACTGAATTATCAACTTTGCAACCAGATTACGAATTGGTGTTACGTAAAGGCAAGGATCTTGTCGAAGACTGCAATGATCAGACATCACCACCTTCATTAAAATGCGATTATAATGTGGTTTATACTTATTTTTCAAATATTTACTACTTTAAAATTTATTTTAACCCTTCACCCCATTCTCTTTTTTTATAATACGATTACAGATCCAATCCATGATAACGAATCTCAAACAATCTTGGATCGCAATTAGTGAACGATCCGCTCATCACCAACGTTCTTTAGAAGCCGATCTAATCCTGAGAGGTGAGATAAGAGCCGTTTGCGCCGAACTCAAGGAATGGTCCCTTCGGGAGACCGCTAGGCTTGAAAGCGAAATTGGTTGTCTATATGGAGATTGTGAAACGGTTAATGGACTGATGGAAAATCACAGGGTAATACTTAATTGTAAAGTGTCATTTTTTCTGGATTGCTGATGCTGTCATTTAAGTTCAAATAAAATCATTCAATTAAAATGGATAAAATAAAGACTTTATAAGATCTCGATTAAAACTTTATGAATCGAATTAAAATTGAATAAAGAGATTAAAAATTAAATGAGTAGGGATATTAATTTTTGTAATAAATAAACCGATTGAGGTGTGTAAAGGTCAGCATTGAATTCTCAGGATTTGTTAGACTTGAAAAAATATCGGATATTTTAAGGACATTGTGAACCATTCAACAATATGTTTTGTTATTGGGATATTATAAAGATGGTGAAAGAGAAAACATTGGCAAAAGTATTAATTTTATTATTCGATAAATAAGCTTATGTGTAATGGTCCTTATATAACAAAAAATAATAGCTCTTTTTAAACGAATCCGAGGCTCGTAGCGCAAACGTTGACGCTCTCCGCGCCTCGATTGCCTCTTCAAATTCTTCCTCCGAAAATTCTTCTAAAAATTTGCTCGAAACGCAAAATCTAAACGAACTAACAAACCTTTGGCAAACTCTCAATTCCCGCGCCTCCGATACTACGGCTACCCTCGCGAAATCCAAAGAGATGGCCGAGCAATTCGAATCTAACGTTCGATGCCTTGTGGATTGGATGGACGGGGAAGGGAGGAAGGATATCGAGAAGATAGCTAACGGAATCGGGGGAAGCCCCACAGAAACGGGCCACCTTTTGGCCGCCTCTGATCTGGGACTCAAAATATTAACTTCGAAAAGCGATGCTTGTCAAGCTTATCGCAATGAACTTAGTCGACGTGTAAATGATTTTATTCATTTCCATGCTTTGCTTTATTGAGATTATGTGGATTTAGTATAGTAATGCATTTAAATATATTGTGGGAAAATACTTGAAAACCTTTTCTTTTCGTTTCACATAATGATAATAATTTTCACACGTTTCCCTAAAAACAGGAACCCGTGTACCACAAAATCCAAGAGCTCAGTCGTCAAATTTTGAGCTCCGCTAACCCCAAGGCGCACAGGTCTATCCAAAATTGGACATCCCTAGTCGAACAGATGTGGACCGACCTGAGCTCCAAACGTGATATGCTTCAGGAAAGATTGGCCCAAATGCTGGAAGAGACCAAATTCCGGGCTAAATTACTGGATGAGTTATTAATTTGGTTGACCACGGCTGAGGCTACTCTCACGGCCGCCGATCAAAGACCACTACCTACCGATATAGAGAGCGTCGAAGCTTTTTTAAAAGAACACAAGGTACTATTACATTATTTTTTGTCTAATATACGATTATTAAAAGGAGCCACAAAAAAAATATGGCAAATTTTTCTTAAATTTCAAAAAAATTATCATTTGCAAGGAATTCATGGAAGATATGAACAACAAGCAGCAAGATATTCAAAAATTGACGGTAAATCAGTCTATGCTTCCTATTTTGGCTAATGATACCTCGAAATTCAAACGTTCTAAATATGCGCCTTATAAAAAATCACAAACAGAGTAAAATATCTTATAACGAAATTTTATTTTCCACCCATGTCCTTTTTAAATTTATTGTGCAGGATTAAATCTATAATTATTTTCTATATTTATGCGATGGGTGTAGTCTTTTGCACGTTATAAATTTGATTTGTGAGTTTATTATCATCCACAAATTATAGGATCAGATTTATCATCTGACAAAAATAAAATAATTTAAACATCCCATTTTACCATAGTCTGACCACCGAAAATTCAACCCTATCCCCCCATAAACAACAAGCCCAAAATGGTGCTTCCACCGCAAATCCCGAATACAAAAATATCAAAATTCGTAATCTTTTCCACAAATGGCGATGTGTGTGGCTCCTATCCATCGATAGGCAAACCAAGCTTACTGACCACTTGAATTACCTTAAGGAAGTAGATCGGTTGAAAGATTTTCAGTTTGAAGAATGGAAAAAGAGGGTAGGCTATGTTTGTCTAAAATTGTCGCCTATTATTTTAAAAAGAATATTCTTTGATTTTTTAATTTCCTCTCACTTAGAAATATAATTAGAAATAAATGGTTCGTAAGTAATTTCTAACTATTTTTTTGATTGTTAAAATATGAAATAATTTTAACATTTTCTATCTCTTCGCTATACCCCTTTATCTTGCATTTTACATTTTATTATTTCTTATATTTTAACGAATCAAAAAATTTCTTGGAAATAGTAAGTCCAATACATCTTTAAAAAATCTTTATATTTAGTACATGAATTGGATGAACCACAAGAAGAGCAGGATAATGGATTTCTTTCGCCGTAACGACAAGGATGGAGACGGTCGTATGACACTAGCCGAATTTATAGATGGAATATGTTCCACTAATTTTCCTACCACCCGACCCGAAATGGAACGAGTAGCTAAGGTTTATTACTTTTATAGTTATTACCTATATAATAAAAATTTACATTTCCGTGATTTCATCTAAAAAAAATTATAATATTTAATTTGGGATAGGTAAGGTATTGAACATGAATGATTGATTTAAACTAAACTTTTACAATAACAATATCTCTAAATAATACATTTGAAATAGGTTATAGATACAAATTCTGATGGTTACATAGATTACAAAGAATACATGAAGGCTCTTAGACCCTCGTCTACATCTGGTCAAACGGTAAAGGAATGTTTTTAAAGATTATTTTCTATTTTATGATGCAATTATTATTGTAAATTTATTAAATTCTATAAGAAAACCATCTTTGCTTCTATAAATCTCATCATTTACATGCTTTAATATAATAGATCAATCCAGTGACCGAAGTGGAAAAGGTTAAGGATGAAGTGAAGAGGCAGGCTAATCTTTGTGAATGTGTCAGAAAATATAAAGTAGACCATATCGGTGAAGGAAAATACATAGTAAATAATCTATTATTCATTTTATTTACTATATCTGATCTCACTTTTAAATTTTAGAACGGATAAATTTTGTATAGAGTCCCTTAATTCTTTTGATTTATTCTATCTTATTCACTTTGAGCACTTGGAATTACTATATTCTTTTCTCCTTCATTTGCTATCCGCTTCCTTCTCATTTCTCGATGTTGTATATTTAACATTTTACTTACGAATACTATACTGTGTCATTTAAAATTTAGTTTGGTGATTCTCAAAAGCTACGATTAGTGCGTATACTAAGGAGCACCGTGATGGTTAGAGTAGGAGGTGGCTGGGTCGCTCTGGAAGAATTTTTGGTTAAAAACGACCCTTGTCGAGGTAAATGGAGTGTTTTAATTTGTTAACATTTACGCATGCTTAGTATTAAATAATAAAATGTATTTAAGGTTAGGGTATAGATGAAAGAACAGATTTGATAATTTGACTTTAAACAATCAAAAGGAAGTATTGGAAATTATATCAAACCTTGTTTAATTTTTGTGTATCCTCTTTAATCTATAATATCATCGTTTATTCTAGCTAAAGGACGAACTAACATAGAACTGAGAGAACCATTTATATTGGCATCGGGGGTTAGTCAGGCCATGGCATCCTTCAAAGCCAAATCACCTCACAGTAGTCCCCTTAGTCCCGCCTCTTTCCTATCTTCACTAGGTTTCAATACTCCCGGGCCTATTACTAAAGTATGCTTACATCTTAATCATTTATAATTTTAAGAATTTTTTTTGATATCAAAATAAATGTCTTAAATTATTTAGATTCAATCAGGATATTCTAATTTATTTATGTTTTATATGGTTTGTGACATACGTTAGATAAGTCGGTGTCAAACGAGTTCTCGCATTTGATAAAATGTTATTTTTTTTTAATTGCCCAGCACGGTCTTGGAAAATTTTACGGGCCAATCAACTCTTATTTTAAACCTAGTCGAGTTTTTTCGAAAACTATCAGGTCAGTCTCGAGGTTTAACTCGAAAGATTACCACGCGTCTCGAGATTTAGCTGATTTATTTAAGCTGGTTGCTCAAAGATGAGTAATGAGTAGATTTTGTGACACCGATTTTTTTTTCACTTTTAATAATTTATTTCAATAAAAACAAAAAAGATCAGAGAAAAGACCCCCAGATCTACACCTTGGAGAATTAATTCCTCTAATAACAATTATGGCTCTAGCGGAAATAAAACAGCTAGCAGTACCCCTTCTTCCTCTCAATCCCCAGTTCCACCTCATCAGCAATATCCAGCCTCTAACCAATTTTTTTCCCCATCTCCTTTCAGCGGAATCGCGAAAAAAGGCATAGGTATTAATGTCGAGTTTGATATCAGTTAAATTTTAAGCAATATGCGGCTAAAGAATGTAACCTTAAATTTTATCAATAAATATGAGCTAAATATATATCTTTTAATTTTGATAATCTTTTAAATTGCACTCAGTATTATGGTTAATTTAAAATTTTAAAGAATTTATAGAAAAAGAATACCTTTTTAAATTATTCAGGCAGCTCAAATAACAGCAAATCCAGTACCAGATCGAATTCCCGTGTTTCTTCGCGCCTTCCTAGCCGAGCCCAATCCCCTGTCATTTTTTCTAATCTAATTGAAAAAAGGGGAGAGGTGGAGCCAGAGAATTACATTGAAACTAGCGCTTCTACCAACTCAAAAACTCTTGCTGGGACCACCTTAACCACCGTTACTTTTAAAACAAAAGTTAGTAAAGTTAAGACTATTGTTGGCTCCGCTAATTCTTGTAATGCGACGCCGAAAAAATTTGTCAAGAAATGAGATTTATTCGAATTTATTAAAAATACGAATGTCATGAACCATCTAAGTTAACCCAATATTCAAAACTACTTGATTGGACCACAATTTATATGTATTACTTATAGTTCAAGAATCCTTTATTATAATATCTACGGAAATCCAATCATTCTTATATAAGCATAGATTCGTTATTGTAATATAATTTTTTTTACCAACATTTCATTACATATTTTGTAATTTGCTTTTCATTATATTTAAGAAATATATATATATATATTATTTAACGATTTATACATAACATTATTAAATTATACATATAAAGTATATATTATTCAAATTTATTATTTTTTTTATCTTTATTATTGCGAATTTCCCTCCATTAAGTATAATGCTATATATGTTTATAAAAAAATAGCTTTTATAATATGTTTAGTTATAAATAAAAATACGACGTAGCATTATTTTATAAATTGTTAGCATTCCAATTTTATTATCATTATTTTGATAAGCCTGTTTTATTAGCTACCCCACTCCATCCATAGTATTTTATGAAAAAATCGGTTATAATTAAATCCGTCATTTACAATTATCAAATTTTCGTGAAAAAAAAACATGAATACAATATCGTCAAATTATTATGATGTACAAAATAAATTACTTTTTTATACATTTTTATATGAATAAAAATGCTATTGTCATTTTAAACATAGCAAAGAAATAAGTTAATTTTAGCCCATAATTTATTTGCTTATATGCAGGAATGAACCAGGAGGTCTCATTAACCATAGATGGGCTGATCAGGGAAACATCTCTTATTCTTTATGATACTTTTGAAGCAATTGCTGTGGTGACTTGTCGAAGACCAAGATTTTAGCCATAAATCGATGTTTTTGACCGCACTAGCTGCTTTATAAAAAAAATATTAACTTATAAGTTGCTATAAATGTTTAAATGGTAATATTTAACCCTTTATTCCAGTACACTCATTAATTTTTATTATTTTCGAGATAAAAATTTATGATATATTAATAACGATTCCATTCAATATATTATCTTCAATCTGTAAATAGAGATACTAATATAGTTGACGAAAAAATGGGAAGATTAAAATATATCATGAATCTTTTCACTTTGTGAAATAAAAACCATTTTTCTAAATACATATTTAAAATAATCTACATCCATAACCCTGCATTCATAGTTAACGCGATTTCGCGGCGATATCATATTTTGTATACTTCGCCGCCAATTCGCATTAACTGTTTACGCAGGGTAAGATGTAATAAGCTAAAAAAATTATTATTAAAATTTAGTTGTTGGTTCTAAACTTATGTCCACCACATTGGAAATCCCTTTTTCAGGTCGCCTGTGATTAAACGTAATTTTCACCATACTGTCTGAGGTCTGAATGAACAAAATGTTTAGGTCGCTTTATTTATTAATTTTTGATTTTTTTTTGCCATCCAGATAAAGCTAGTTAAAAAGATCCCAACTTTTGTATAAATATAAAAATTACGATAATTTCAACGATTTCCCAGCACTTTCACATATCATGATTAAATGTATTTTTTATTCTCCCCAAAATTTATAACATTGATATATTATTTCCTCTGGCGTATAAAATTAGTTCATATTATAGTGTTGTTAAAAACCCCGATTCGGGTCGATTTTTAAAAACGGCCCTATTAAGATTATAACAAAATTAACACTATGTAAGCCCGCATGCTTATACATCTATTTACCAAATCTCGATGCTTATATAATATTATTTTGGCTAATCGGGCCTTTTAGCAACACTAACATTACATTATCATACCGGGCCACTCATTCATTTAGGTGCATCACTTATTGGTTCTAATTTTTATATCAAGTATAGTTGGGTAATTACTCTATTTTTAGCGCTAAATCAAATTAGCCGAAAACTATCTTTGGCCTCTAGGTTTTAAAAGGATAGAAACCGAAATTTGAAAGAAACTCATATAAATTAAAAGGCCTTAAGGTTAATGGATCTTTTCCGACAGGCGCCTGAAAATTGAGCCTAATTAGCCGATATTTAGCCATTACCCAACTATAATATCGAATCCTTATGCCGCTACAAAAATTCATAACTAAAAATAAAATTAAAATGTCTACCAGATTCAAAAATATTCCATATGGAACCCTCCAATAAATTTTAGACAATCAAACTCTGATAAGAATAAGTTTCTAACATTTCAAAGGAGTTGGTTAATAAGATTTCGTGGCTTTGATACATCAGATTTTGATGACAGAGGATCGCACTAAAACTCACTATCACTAGTTGCCAAATATAGAAATTGGAAGGGCATCTAGTACATTAAATGATAAGTATAAAATTTGCACTTTAAGTATTTGAACCAATTCTAAAAGGCTATATAGTATCAGGAGATCATAGTAAAAACATTAAACGGTTCAAAAAATAGTGCAATAATTTGGTTATTGGTAAACAAAGTGTGCCTAAAGATCTAGATTTTGCCCCTTATAACAAATGAATAAAACAAGGGCAGTCATCAGGGATTTTGGGCTAAAAAATGTTCCAAAATGCAATGTATACTTGCTAATGTTTTAAACGAACACGTTCTTAAATAGAATAGTTTTTTTTCCGACATTCAAGTTAAAATTTAAAAGAAATTTTTTTTTAAATAAAAGGTTTCATTTTTTTACTCAGCATATTTTCCTCTGACTAAACTAGTGTTTATTTCATTAATGTAATTTCGTCGATCAAGAATTGGAGAGCATCACCCATCATTTTTAAGATTGTTGAGCTAAGGGTTAATTTTAATTGTCAATATATAAAATAAATTCTTGGCGAAGTCAGTTCTGTCAATTTTGCTATATTTCCATAATTTTTGTTATATATTGCATGATATTATCACTTCATAATCAATCACCTGTGTTATGCACATTTTTTTAAATTTTATAGAATAAAAACAATTAAGTCAGTTAAATTATTATTTCTATAAATAAGTTGGAATTAAGTACCTCCAAGAATACCATATTTTTACTTAAATTGATCCATAAGTTTTTCTTATATTTGTTTAAATCCAAACTTTCAAATCGTTTTTCCCAGTTTCAACAAATTAAGCAAGTGGAGCGCTCCCATTCTGGACCGAGTATTTATATTTTATTATGTTTAGGTTTATATAGATGGTAGTTCTAATTCAGACTCAGATAATGTTATTTTTACCATGGCCTAATCTAATTAAAATAAGTATTTAAATCTTAATTCTTTAAATCAAATATTAAAATAAATTATATAGAAATATTATAAACGCATTTTTCATTTTGGAAAGTGAAGAAATAATCAATTTATGTGACGCCTATAATGAAGAAAATTTATAACATATTTTAAGAAGCTCGCATAAAACCAAGAAATGTTGAAGCTTTATAACAGAGACTCTATTCTACAATATCTTCTCTTTTTTAATGAAGAGTTAATGGAAAATTTGGAAGATAATGGTCTATCGGATTTATTTGAAACAAAATATATAACTAGATATTCTCTATAAATTTTTAGAAATAAGACCTTTATTAAATATATGACTTGCAATACCATCCACAGCTCAGGTGGAGCGCATTTTTAGCGTATGAAATTCATAGTTAAAACATTCTTGCTCATCGAGTAAAAAATTTAATAACAGCTGGTTAGTAAAAATTAATAGACAAAAATGCAATTAACAAATATTAATATATTATTAAAATCGTATTTTATTGTTTTATATTTTTCGACATTATCTAATACAAAATAAAAATATTAAATCCAACGGCATACATGATGTGGTGTTATTATATTGTGCATTTATTTATGTTAATTATTTATTTTAAAAAAATATTTTGTTTTTTTTAGATATGGGTTAGGATGCGGGCTCAGGTTCTGTTTAAGGTTAAAAAAAATAGGTGGGTTCGGTTCGAGTTAGGTTCAGTGAAATATTTTTGAACCCGGGTTTGGTTATGGGTTCAGCTCGGATTTAAGAATTTTTGAATTAATAAAAAAAAATATTCCATATTTAAATCATAATTAAAAAACTAGACATAAATTTGGTATAAAAAATAAATTTTTTATTTTATTTATAAGCAAATATAGTTAAAAATACAAAGTATAGTCATGTATAGATTTAAAAATTTTTATTTAGAGGTATTTCTTTAAATTAACAATATCCAGTATTGTAATTTTTACTTTGACTTGATCACTTTCATTTTCCTCCAATTAATAATCTTTGAGAATAAGTTAAATATTAAAAATAAATGGCGTTTTAATTGTTTAAAATTTATCAATCCAATAGGAATCTTTGATAATAAATTTAAAAAAATTTAAAAATAGAGTAAATGTAAGTTGTTTAAAATTTATTAACACTTCACTTAAATGGAAATTTGAAAATATTATATAATGTCAAGTAAATTATTAATATTTGTATTTAAAATTATACAAATATCTTATATTAATTTAAACAATACACTAAACCCGTTTGAACCCGGGTTTAAATAAAATTTCCGGGTTCGGTTCGGGTTCGATTATTTTCCTCAAAAACCCCTATTTTCTTGTTCGGGTTCGGTTTGAACCCCTTGATATGGGTTTTTATAATTAGGTAAATTGAGAGTTTTTAAAAGGTCGTTAATTTTATTTTCGTCCTAGATAATCAAAGGTCTCTTCTGCACGGCCCTGATTACATTTTAATATTTATTAAATAATAAATCCTGCTTAAATATGATAAAAGGGTATTGGCTACTGCCTATCAGTAGCCATGTAAATAAAGTTCATTAAAAAACAAATACTAGCCTTTCATAAAACAGATTATTATGTATATTGCAACTCACATGCCTTAACCTAATATATTATAATTAATTCGCAATCTGAAAAAAAAAACTTTGATTTCCTGAAAGCCCAGGAATCTATTAAAATATTTCTAGTTTGCCTCAATTCTTTTCCACTTTTATTGACCAATATTCTAGTGGGAGCAGATACCGAAAAACTATTGAATTCTTTCATAATAAGGACACAATTTTAAGTTTTTCGTTCAGTGCTTAGTTTTTTTATATATTAAGAAATCTGAATTCTAAGGATTTGTAAAGAAAAATATATTCTTCTAATAAGATTGTACATTTCGCATAGTAGATAAATGGAGGCTATATCATTTTGGCATATGAGTTGAGAGCTTTTCTGATCAGAAAGAACTAAGAAAAGGACTCTTAGGAAAATCACAGGAAAGATGGAAAGACTAAATAAAACGAAGCCTCCACATTATCAATTTAGCCGTTAGAAATCTGCAAGACAATAGATCGGGATGGGGACATTCGCTCCCTAACTCAACTGTCATTGTCTCATAAATAATTCGAGATTAAAATTTAATAAATTCATAATCGCGACAATATTGTCAGACTGGGTTCCCCAATTCGCCGTTTTTTATTCTTTCTCAAAACAATTTAGAGATAATGATAATTTATTATCAAAAACCTTATGTAAACAAATATCTTTAAAACATTTTTAAAAAAAAAATGTCATGAAATTTGTGTTCTTAAATTGACAAAATGTGACGCCCCGGTTATAAATAAATCATGTTGACGAATACTCTAGGAAGCGAATAAATTATTATATTTTTTTGCATA